TAGTTACTTGGCATTTTCTCCATATCAGACGAGACAATAATTTAGTTTTTCAAATACCTACTCAGTCATTGTATTAACGATGTCGAAAATTATGGTAAGTAAGTAAGTAGCGCTTGTACATCGTCCAAACGTTTCAAAGACTTTTCCGAAATTTTTGAATTCAAAAATTTCTTGTCGACTTGTCAACGCCGCATTCACGCTCGCGATAGTAACGTCATGAAATTCTACCAATGGAGTGCGTTCAGCCTCGAGGAAAGAATGCGGCTATATCGTACTGACTTAAAGAGATTCACAGTTATCGTTAATCTAAAACTTTGATGCGTATAATCAGAATGCACTTCTATAGCCAAATAGTTCAAAACAATGGAGATGAGCAGAAAACAAAGTGAGAGGACAAAAGATTGAGATAACTTACAAATCATATGAGCTAAGTTTTCGACCTGTTTATAAATGGTGATTTGAATTCAAAGTGCATATACGAGGTGTACGTGATAATTAAATTACTGTGTTTCATAAGAATTATTGGTGTGGGGCTACTTGGGTTTGATTTATTGTTCTACTATTTTTTTCACAAGTACTTCTTAATCTCTTTTACTTTACTGGGATAAAAAGTGAAAACGAACATTTTATAAGAATAGTTGCCCTTGGTGCCCTTTCCAAAAGGAAACCTCCAAATGAAAGCATTTTAAAATAAAAAAAAATATCTCAAACGGTTTTATTAAAAAATAATAATAATAATGATGTAAAAAAATAATGACTGAAAAAATAATTCGGATGATCCTAGGTAGCAGTCATCACACCACCCTCCTCAGCAATCTGTGGTATCGATCAGATAAAAAAATTAAAATCGTTGGGCGTTGTTTAACATGAGTAAATATGGCAATGGTACACCCAACGATTTTATTACTTTTTTATCTGATCGATACCGTAGATTGCTGAGGAGAGTGGTGTGATGACTGCTACCTAGGACCTTCCGAATTATTTTTCAGTTTTTAGTACATTAGGTATCTACACCATTATTATCTTTTTTTTTCAACAAAATTTTCAACAATTTTCTAGTTTCTAATATTGTTACTTACCCAATTCTTCTCATTATGTTTAGTTCATTTAGTGCCTCAGTATTTCAAGATAATATTTAATCCGCCATTTTCTCGCTGCGGCCATCTTGAATTTGCATCTTTTCCAAAGTGTAGCATCATTCAACTAGCCAAATCTTGTCATTTGATATCCATTTTAAGGAAGTTGTGAAAAAATATGTAATCCGCAATTTCGTAGCTGCGGCTTTCTTGAATTTGCATATTTTTTAAAGTGTACTACTATTCTACCAGTCAAGCCCTGTCATTTGATACCCATATTGAGGTAGTTGTGAATCAATATGTTATCCGCCATTTTCTAGCTGAGGCCATCTTGGATTTACAATGATACAAAATTTATTCAATTTCATTGTCTTCAAAACTAAATACGTGTAGCAAATTTAAAAGCAATCTGTCAAAGGGGTTAAACTTCAATTACTAAATTTGACTCAAACAAACAAACATGGCAAACTAAATAAAACCGTTTTAAAAGTGTAGTTCGATGTGTAACAAATGAGTTAATCATCGAAGCGATAGGCAATTGTAGTTCAATGCATACATCTGAGAGAATAGACGAAAGAGAAACAAATCCTCAACCTGTCAATGTTCCAGACTATAGAGATGGCGAATGTTCAGATCACCGATAGAGCAGATTGATAAATATAACGCATTATAAATTGCTGAGGTGTGTACAACTTCCTAGTTCGAAATAGTGTTACATGTTTCTAAGAAGCCGTCTTTGCTACTCCAGCCATATCTTTATACAGTGACATCCCCAAAGTATGCACCATACGGGAAACTTATTTATTAAGAGTTTTTCGACAAAAAGTTATTCTTGATAAAAGTTTGTGCACCCCCTAAAACTAAATATGCACCAACAAAATACAGTACAACACACGTAATATACGAGGAGTCTTCAAATATTTGATTTTGTAACAAGAGTAAAGTACTCTTATTTCGAAAAATCTCGGGAAATGTTATTTAGAAAAGTTGTTTAGCATTGAAAAATACATCTAGATTTGAAGTCATGGCCATCTAAATGAAGTTTAATTTTTTGACCAATTTTTTTAATGGAGACTTTGAAAAACATTTTTGCTAAAACGATAAATAGACAGCATCCTGTATACGACGGTTCATTTTGAAAGCCTGTAAGATTACAAATTACACAACTGTTATGTTAACCATGGTCAATTTTTTCGAAAAGTGAATTAATTTAAAGTTCTTGGTGCAAAGTTATTTTTATTTTTTGTTATCATGTTATCACTCAAAATTATACAGTATCGTAACAAAAATTCAATATTCAATAATATCAAATCACAAAACATCAAAATAAAATAGGTATTTTTGAACAAATTCATTGATTTTCTAGAGATTTTCTTGTCCAAAATAAGTGTTTTGAGTTGAATCTCCAGAAAATCAATGAGTTTGTTCCGAAATACCTATTTTATTTTGATGTTGTGTGATTTGATATTATTGAATATTAAATATTTGTTACAATAATGTATAATTTTGAGTAATTTTCGGTGATGACAAAAAATAAAAATAACTTTGCACCAAAAACTTTGAAAATTAATTTACTTTTCAAAACAATTGCCCGTGGTTAACACCATAGTTGTGTAATTTGTAATATTACAGGCTTTTAAAATTAACCGTCGCAGTTCCCATTTGAAAAAATGGGTAAAAAATAAAACTTCACTTAGATAGCCATGACTTTTAATCTAGATGTATTTTTCAATACTGAATAACTTTTTTAAGTAACATTTGCCGAGATTTTTCAAAATAAGAGTACTTTACTTTTGTCACAAAATCAAATATTTGAAGGTTCCTCGTATATTACGTGTGTTGTACTGTATTTTGTTGGAGCATGTTTGGTTTTAGCGGATGCACAAACTTTCATCAAGAATAACTTTTTGTAGAAAAACCCTTAATAAATAAGTTTCCCATATGGTCCATACTTTGGGGATGACACTGTACCCAGACCATTCCATAAAAAGTCCTTATTGAACAATTCGTTATCTGATCACTAGCCGGTATCCTAGCTCTTTACTAAAATCTAGACGTTGCGATGAATGCTATATCAAAAATACCTATTTTCGAAGAGGTCATGAAGTGTCGCAGATATTGACCACCAAAATCCACATTTTTTTTTATTGAACCGTATCTACTCCTGACTTTCAACATCATTTTCTATCAGTTGGTACTGACAATGTAACGACTTGAAATATGGATGAGTACCTAGCATTTGAAATGAATATCGGTCAACTGTTTTAAAATAATTATCTTATAGGAATTATGAAATCATATCTCCTGACGAATTCCCCTATATGGAGAAAACTGACATATAGCTCTTTTTTGACTTCTATATGGTTACTGTCACCACAAGCTATATTTTTTATATGTCTTTATTAAGATATAAATTCTTGTTGAAGATGAAGATGTGGTAAGACAAAAAAAGTGTGCTGATATCATGGAAGTAATGTATTGGATTTCTGGATCTTCCTTGGACCCGTTAATGTGCAATAGAAAGAGGATTGGAGACATTACGGATCACACGGGAATACCAGTCTTAACAATGAAGATATTCGATATTCGAAAAAGAACCATCGATGTAACATCAAAGTATATAACTTCAAAGATGGGTGGCACCTGTTGATTTTTGCTTATGGTCCATACACCTTAATATTTAGGAATATGGTGGGACGATAACTGACTAGCGTGAATGGTTCGCTCTACTCATCCAATCAACGGCTGTGTAAACGTTGATTCGATGTCAACTGGGGGATTTTCGATTTTCCTTGTGTATGCTAGGAATCACACGTTAATATCTCTTTGGTCCTTAGCTCGCACAAGTTTCGACTTCTAATGGTTTTAGTTCGTAAGGTGCGATAGCTGGTTGTCATACATATAACGATTTACCTCTTTCTCCATGAGTTTCGAATTAATTGTGTAACAGGGATATAGTTATTTGGAATATTCTTCTGTTTCTTTTGAGTCCGGGTTGATGTCAAGTGATTTCTTCAACAGGAGCTTAGCTTTTTAAAGTATCATGACAAGTATTTCATCAGAATTAGAAGTTTTCTTTATGTTGATTATAAAATCCGTTCAATTATACGCTTTCGAAAAAAAATTTCTCGGAAGGGCGGATTGTACTGTGGAAACAGTTGGTGTTTGTTCGAAAGTCAGTTATGGAGTAGGTTGCAAATTGGTCCCAAGTAAATTTGGTTTTTATATGGATTCCACTACTAATGTATTATTCGATTGTGAGTGATGGAATTATGGACTGGCAAAAATCTTATTGGGTAGTTTTCCATCTCTTCTATTCTCAATTTGCATTTGTTATTGGCATTAACAAACCTGATGTTGCCAAAATCGATTTGAAATTGTTATTGAGTCCAGTAGTAACTGCAGTTGCCAAGCTCTATTTCCATGTAAATTGATGGTAGATAGAAGGACTCTGACCACTTGCAGAAGTCACTGACGACGACCATGTGTCCTCCACAGCTTTCAATCGAATCTCCGAGTAAAGAAATTATGCTGACGCTTGTAGGGTCAGCGCCAGCAATAATGCTTTTAATCCCATTTTTGCAACTCGACACAAACATAGCAGAACATTTTTTCTCATTTTTCTCTTGTAGTATAATAGATTTTATGGCGTTTCACAAAACCCTTCAAGATACGGGAGATGAATATCGACCGACGAGTAAATCACGATAGAGCTGGCCCTGAGAAAACATGACGACTTACTACAAAGTACTAGTTTCATGTTCATGACAATATCATCATAACATTAAACCAATTTTCCCTCTTCATAGGTCCACCTGAAACCCAGAAAAATTACTAAAAATTGTCTGAACGGCAACGCTGTAGCTTTACTGATATAACTTCTACTGACATAAATTCATTATTATTTATTACATACCTTATCGCCATCTTCGTATCACATATTAAACGTAACCTTTGATCTGTTCATTGTATGCTAGCAGTTCGTTCATTATTTTTAACACAAAACTATTACATATTCGTCAACTGTTTCTACCAAAATGTTGAACAGGCCAACATTGAATTTGTTGGGTAAACTGGCCAGGAGGTATTCGCAAAATGCAAAAGATTACGAATTAGTTGTGGAATATTTGAAAGGTGATCATGTCGGGATTGCAGTCATTGGAATGAATCGGCCCGAACAGAAAAACGCTCTTAGCATTCGATTGCTAGAAGACCTCAATAAAGCAGTTGATGAATTAATTTTTGAAAATGTAGCTCGCGTATTAGTTCTACGGAGTTTCGTTCCTGGATCTTTCTGTGCAGGTGAGTATTGAGTATAGTTTGCTTTCATGTTGAGAATCTAATATAGAATGTCATATACAAATTTCTTCTCTAAATGATGGCAAATAGGACATGACGTTTTCTATTTTTCTTTCGTGATCACTCATGAAATTGAATTTGGAAAAAAGTCATTTGGAAAAGTTGTTTCCGTTGCAATTTTATGACCCTCTACCAAATTTTATCAAGTTAGCACAAGTTTTTTCAATTATTTAAAAAAAAATTAATTATTCATTTAGAATTCTTCGTAAACGGGTTAGTTTTTTATGTCAATTTTCATTATTTGGAAACTAATTTGAAATAAAATTTGAATGGCAAAAAAATGAGCAGATGTGTTGCGAAATCGTGATTTAAAAAATAATAACAAATGGTCGAATTTCAATTCAATGAGGAAAACTGTTATGAATTTCAAGTAATAATATGACTGAAAATGAAATTTGGTGGCTGATTAAATATCACAAAAGAAAATAATCGACTACATTCCAAAATGCCGTTTTCAGGTTCAGTACAAACGACACGACAGGTTCTCCTGAATACTGTTGAGATAAATTAATTGAATGCAATGATTTTCTCGTATTTTAGTTTATGCGTATGATTGGTAGATGTCGACAGTTTTGTAGTTAACATGTGGTGTGAATAAAGTGTTAGCAATGTAGAATAAAGAAGAAGAATAATAGGATAGGTATAAATGACAGTACGAGATGAAACACTTCCCTTATTTTCCGTTATCATTGTAATGTGTGTGTTTGTCTTGTGCTCGGCAATGCGGATTTTCAATAGCCTCTTAGTTTCACCAATACAGGATTTGCCACACTCACAATTTGTCCGGTAAATTCAATTCTTAGAATCACAGTCAGCGTTTGGTGGCCTGGTTTTTGTGAGGCTACTACGGATGTTGTTTCCGGTTCTCAAGCAGGTTCTGATGTACTTGATCCCATTCTTTCTATCATTTCCGACAATAGGAAAGGGCAGGCACGGGTTGTGACAGCACCTCTTCCTTGTGAGGCTCTTGCTGTCTTCTAGCTAAAGTATAATCCACCATCACTTTGGTATAACCATCCCGTTGAAGATAATTGTTGATGATGCCTAGTTCCTTCTCGAGACCTTCCTCCGTATTACAGCGCCCGAAAGCACGAGCCACTAGAGACTAGAGTCTTGATGATCGTGCTATCGGGCTTTGTAATACGAAAGAGGGTCTCGAGAAGGAACTAGGCGTCTTAAAAAATTTTCAACGGAGTGGTTACTCTGAAGTGATGGTGGAACAGACTTCGGCTAAAAGACAGCAAGAGCCTCATGAGGAAGAGAAGCTGTCACAACTATTTCTTACCCTTCCCTACGTCAGAGAATTGTCGGAAAAGATAAGAAAAATTGGATCAAGTATAACATCAGAACCTGCTTCAGATCCAGAAATACCATCTGTAGCAGCCTCATGGAAACCAGGCCAACAAACAGTAGCCTGGGACGGTAGCCGGTTGGGTTGACATAGGTGGTTTGCTTTACTCACTCAATCGACCTCTGTGTGAACCGGTGGTTTGAACCGCAAGGCCGAACGATCGATTTTCACTTCCTATTGTCCAACCCGTGCTAGGAATCACCTGTTAAAAGGTGAGGCCTCGTTAGTCCTTAGCTCGCAAAAGTTTTGGCTTTTGAGAGTTGTCGTTAACGGAAAAACAGATTTTAAACAGTCTTTTGTAACGCGGACTGCGATTCTAAGAATTGTTTTACTGGATATCCTGTGAGTGTGGCAAATCCTATATCGGTTAAACTAAGAGGCCATTGAAAGTCCGCATTGCCGATCACAAGAGAAACACACAGCGAGGAGAAACCAAATCGGGAATAGCAGAGCATGTTTGGACTCTTCAACATAACATCAAGTGGTCCCAAGCTGAGATCATCCACAGGAAAGAACACTGATTCAAGAGGAAGTTCAAAAGGAGCTGCATATATGTTGCCTAGCGACGCATTCTGACAAGCTAGCGTAGAGAAACGCAACATATATCAAGCGGAAAAACTGTCAACTCCCGCTAAACCGGTGAAGCGGAGAGAGGGAAGAGAGGATAGGTGACAGCGTTCGAATTACCTATAGTCATCTCTCGGAGGAATGGTACCTGGTATATGTGCGTTAAATCAAAGATCGAGGGTCGGATAGTTAGTCTGTACCCTCTGATCAACAGGAAACCAAAAATGAGTCTTAAAAACAAAATTACCACCTACAACACGATGTTCAAGCCTGTCATCATGTATGCTTCAGGCGTCTGGGGGCAAGCGGCTCTGTCTAACATCTCCATCCTGGAGAAATTACATAATAAGTTGATACGGATGATGTTGAATGCTCCGTGGTTCGTGCAGAATGAAGCCATCCGCAGAGATTTGCAGCCGTCTTCCAATCAGCAGTCCATTCAGTCGAGGAATCGGCGAGTTTTTGATAGTGCGAAAACTCACGAAAATCTTAGTTAGGGAAGCTATAGATTATGCTGTAGGCGACTCCTACCGGTATAGAAGGCCCCGACACTCTGTCGAATGAGGCGGCCCTCATGTCCCCCGTTAAAGGATGAACAAATTTTTCATCCATCCCACCCCAGTCAGGTAGGGGTACCCCGTGAAGGGCGGTACTGTAATGAATCTGAATCCGGTCCTGACCATTATCTCAGACACCAAACATATAACTCATCGCGAAAGGAATGATCTTGACAAGTCGCCGCGAACAGTCTAGGCCACTACCGAAAGAGAAATCTAGCACGGTCGTTGCCAATATATAAGCCGGCTTCTCATCCCGAGAGGGCAGTCTGTACCTAGAAAGTGAATCGTGCGTTTAAAGAAAGAATTCTAACCGTGAAGATAAATTGAGGGTTAGTTGCTTAGTGTTGTATATAAATTAGTTGTGATAGTGAAATATTGTTGAAAATAAATTTGTTTGACAGGTAATTCTTCAATTCGTTACAGTACCGATGTCTGAGGACTTTTCATACAGCCAACATTTCCTTAGTCATGAACCCATTTGTCTTTCTGACTAAAATCAGCTATAAGGGTAAGGGAGCTGGGCTCCAACCTAAATGAACTGAAGACGCTTGATTATTATAGTACCTGATTCAAATGAAGATGATTTGATATTTAGTCCAGTCATCACTCGAAGACGATTTTAGGTACTAACAATCATTTTAATTTTTTTGCTTATTTTTATTTCTTTTTACTATGTGGTCATTTTTCATCTTTTAAGTTGACTACTTTATTTGTTTTATTGTAATTCACGTTTTTTTTTTGCTTAATATTGATACTTCAACTATTCATTTCAATTTTATTTGTTCTTTTATAGATTTCAAATACTATCACACAATAGAAGTCTGAACTAGTAAAATTTACCATGAAACATTGTCAACCACTTTCAAACAAACGTAAAACTATCAAATACTTCGAACCAAAAATTAGTTTTAAATGAGTACTGATATCAACACTTGCTTATAGAACGTGGAAAAATAATATATTGAGAGCTATAGGTAGAATGTTCAAAAACACAGTGAAAAATTAGTTGAAATAATCATTCTTACTGAAAATAGATAGTACACTAAAGTTCAAATGATAAATTTTGTATATTGTTAAGCTAAACTGAGTTGAAAAGTAGAATTTGGAACCTCTGGCGTGAAATGAACCTTTTCCCTCGCCAGAACAAAATTTCTGTTTCTCAACGCGCGTTTCGTAACCAAATTGATATCGACTTTACTCAAATTGGTCTTTGAGTTTGTTACCTATTCATTCATTTTCTTGTTCATTTCTTTAATTTTTTTCACTACCTGTTAGCTGATCTTGCCTAACTCGTTTTGGTACACATCTTACTGCACTGATGAATGCCGGCCGTAAGATTCCTGACTACGAACCTTGAACATTGAATAATTCATCTCGTATCCATTTCAGTTTTTCTGTAATTTTCCTCCGAAGGGATTGGCTGATTTCGTTCAGTTGCCAGGTATAATCGTTTCTATTATTCCTCTTGGTCGCACCTTTGTGCCTCTTGCTGCGATAGAAGTTTTAGCAACTCATTTTTTCTTGTTCGGATTCGTTCTTCCAATTCTTCTTTTTTGTTTGTTTTTTGTTGTTCGAATTATTTTTGCAACAGCTGTTGATATCTTTTCTTTTTATTTCTTGTCTTTCTTCATTTTCTTTCTGTTTTTATTGGTTTTTTGTGGTTTTACCTATTTCTTTGCATTTTCCTTCGTATACTTTCTGTTATTTTCTGCATCTTCCTTTTTTCTGGGTACCTATATGCTTACTAAAATTGCCAGATGGTCACTCACACGCTCTCAATCATTCTAACGAAACAATGACTATATTCAACAACACAAATATATAACTTAACAACAACTATATCAAATCACTTCAATACGTGACTACTACAATTATTTCATTAGTTTTCTTCGCTTTCCCTTGCTTACGCTATCGCATTTGATTTGATGACTTTCATTAACGAATTGTTTGCGATTTCCATTCATAAAACCACAACTATTATGAATGTTCAATTCAAACACAGACACAATGGCCGTTAACTTCGTTTCGTCTGTCCCGTGCCTGGAATCGCATGCCAAAAGATAAAACCTCGTTAATCATCTGTTCGCACAAGTTTTAACTACTAAGTGTTGCCATTCATAAGGAAAAATCTTATTTTTCATTTCAGCCCAATAAGTAACATGCTCTCCGTCGATAGATTTTCGAATGATTCGAAAATAAATTGCACTTCCACGTTGCCACTTTTTCCCTGCTACATAATGGTGTTTTCAGATTTGCTATCCGACGTTTCGTCTTCCGGACACCATCATCAACTTTAATTTTTTTATTGGATTCTTTCTGTTTTGAACAGAACCATATTTCACCTTTTCAATAATGTATCATAAATTATCATTCTTTTTCAAAAAATTGGAGATACTGAAAAAAATATTCTTATCATAATACGCTTTCACTTTGATGTTTCTAAATTTGACTTGCTGTAGGTTCATTGCAGTTTTGTAGTTATATGCTATATAATTTTTTCAGGAGCTGATTTGAAAGAAAGGGCGGTAATGACTCCCAAAGAAGTTCAAAATGCTGTGAGAAACATCAGGAGTTTTGTGAATAAAATGGTCAACGTCCCTTTTCCTGTGTTAACAGCTTTGGATGGGGTTGCATTAGGTTAGGACTATTATTCATCTTCAAAATATTCTAAATTAGTACGTAAGATGCCAGAATAATTCTACTAGCAGAAACACTTCGAATTTCAACATTTAATTCTGAGCCAATATCAGCCGTGAGAATCTCCAGTAGAATATCATACAAAATCCCAACAGATCAATAGAAAGGAAGGTATTCTACGCAATGAAGAAAAATTAACTTCACTTCTCAGATGAGGAGAGATTATCGTTGACATCACACCACAACAAGCCTACTCTGTATGAACCACTGAAGATTAACAAGAGGCGTTTCAATCAGACCGATCCTTATTTTCAAAGATTTTGCATTGACAATTTGGCATTTTTTTCCAATTATTCAATCACTTAAAAGAAAAACTTCATTAGAGAAGAATTTCAGGCATTTGTTCAGTTCCTGGTGGAAACTGAAGTCACACAACGAAATTTACTCGATAGTTTCTATGTAGAAAGCCTGTAGAAGAATCATGTGAAGAATTTACAAAATTTAAACATTGATGGTCATGGTATCAAGCTTTCAGAATATCTTACATAAGTCATTAGTAATGTCATGTTCAAAGTTATCTGTAATGACAGAAGTGACATTGGTAGTAAAAAATATTCCTTTTCATTATTCATCTAATGAATCATTATACAGCGTATACATTATTTTAAACTCAGTTATGAAGAAAGTAAATATCTAACTATATTAGATGGTCTCGAAAGATTTGTCCGTTTCAATACCATGTTTTTTGTAGCTCCATATCTTAATAAGTATTCAATTTTATTCAATTTACCGTGTCTATTATATACTCTAGTTCTTTTACACCCTACGGAATGATAATAAATGAGAGATACCTTCTTAGGTACTTTTTCGATCATAATTACCTCAAACTGGCATAACATTTAGGAATCGCATCCTAGAGCATCACATGAGCTATTTTCAACATAGTCAAATCATCTTTAACGGCGATTTTGAAATTTTACACAGAAAATAAAGGTTTAAAGCTTAATTTGGAATCAATGAAAATTAATAAACTTAAAAATTCAAACATTTTACTGAATGACCAATTGGATTTCAATAGATCACCATTACTGAACTTGTTTTCTTAGAAACGACATTGTTTCATTAATATAATATACACAGGTAATCATAATTGGAGGATGTACTTTAGGTATAAAAGTTGATTAGGTGCTTTAGGTAATTATGATCGAAGAAGTACCTAACTAGGTATCTCTCACTTATGATTACGTCGGGTATACAGGGTGTAAAACATTTAAGGAGGTGATTCCTCATCGAAAAAAGATAGTATCTTTCATATAAAGAAATTTCATTGGAGTATCCCTTGTTAAGATACAGCCCCTTAAAGGGGGTACATAAAATTTGTATAACATTTTTTTTCACAAGCACTAAAAAAGTTACAATGTTGAAATACACCTGACGTTTTGTACTACCAAAAAACACTTAGCCAGAAATTTATTTGGTTTACCCCATGGTTGTAAGGGGTGGAAAACGCAACCCCTAAAATTAATTTCCAATTTAACTTTTTGTGTTATCATTTGCTTACCATTTAAAAATTTATTTTCGATAGCATGTTTCTTTATAAACAAAAAATGTCTCTTGGGTTTTTTTACCCTAAATAAACCAGTTCGCAGCAAAAAATTATTTTATGAACAACTACAGAGATACATCGTCATAAATGCGAAAATACGAAACTAATCTATCTAGTAGGTCGCTATTAGCGATACTGACAATTAAATTGGTATGACGCTATCAGTTGGTGAATTTTCAAAATTGAATTAATACTAATTGTGTGTTGTTGTTCTGTTCTTAATTTGTTACTTTAATAATTCACTTGTTATCAAAATGGCATACGCAAATGAGGAAATAGCTGATATGCATTACGTTTACGGTCTGTCGCAGGGAAATGGGTTAGAAGCTTCTAGAAGATATGCTGGAATGTATCCTCAACGGCAGCATCCTTCACATAGAATATTTGCTCGACTTCATCAACGATTACGAGAATATGGTTCATTCGACAAAAGAACGCAGGATTGTGGTCGCCATTGAGAAGTACGAAACATGTGATACCTATATTTTTCGAAAATAAAGTTTGTGAATCGTTAGGTGAAGTTTGTGAAATTTGTTGATACTATATTTGGGTTTTTATTGATTTGGATCATTTCAAGAATAAGCCTTCTGGACTTTTTTTTCTAGATATAGGTACGTCCATTTCCAAAGGAATGTTGTGTTGTCGTGCGCACAAGAATGTTCAATTGTATATAACATAAGTATCTCAGAGTAATTATAGTATTCAGCCAACTCCATACAGTAACTTAACATCTGTGAATGGACTTATAGATGTCCATAGAATACTTATATTTTAGAGAATATCGATTCAAATTCCATTGAGGATATCCATCTAGGGCGTTCTATTTCAAATCCAGAAATATTAGGTACAACATAAATTGGACATAAATTGAATTTTTACAGGACATCCGATGTTGTGTGACGTGACGGGCGTCACAGTATAATAATTATCACTTGATTCGTTTTGAAATTTTGGGAAAGAGCAACTTCAAACCAACTCACTGTATATCATACACCATTTTTTAAAATCTGGTACTGGTTATAGCGTACATTTTTCACACGAAACTCACAAAGTTTCACTTACTTTCAGGAGGTGGTTTAGAAATCGCTTTAGCTACCGACATCAGGGTCGCTACAACTAATACCAAATTGGGACTAGTGGAAACGAAATTAGCCATAATGCCCGGCGCTGGTGGCACCCAACTTCTACCAAGACTACTCAATCCCTCCGTGGCAAAAGAACTAATATTTACTGCGAAAATCCTTAATGGAAAGCAGGCGAAAGAGCTTGGTTTGGTCAATCACGTGGTCGAGCAAAACAAAAATGGTGATGCCGCCTACCTGAAGTCACTGGAAATCGCCGAGGAAATTCTTCCGAACGGACCTTTGGGGATCAAGATGGCCAAACAGGCGATTAACAAAGGAGTTGAAGTGGACTTTTCCACGGGACTAGCTATCGAGGAAGCTTGTTATTCACAGCTGATTCCTACGAAAGATAGGACAGAGGGCTTGGAGGCGTTCAAGGAAAAAAGAAGGCCGGTGTATTTGGGCCATTAATAAACACATTACTTGGTCTTGTTCACTATAAGTGAGATGAGTTGGATACTAATTCAACAGTCAGCAATACTCAACTCGAAAAGTTAATTGTTGTACACCTTCTGAAAACATTTTTTCGGAGGTGCAATAGGACGATGTGGTTATCTCTCATATTCTCAATATTCACGCAACACTTTTTTTTATTTTCACTAAGAATTATGCAACTGTCGAATAAATATTTGTCTTTGAGAAAATTTTGAAGTGTTCTTAATAATCTTATAAGATTTGTTTATTTCATATACTTTAGCATTAATTCAAGAAATGAACTCTTAAATTTACATATTAAATTTTATAATAACTACTTAATCTGATCATAATATTATTTGCAGAAACATTATCAGTTTCAATACACAGATGAAAAGTTGTGATACTCTCAGAATTCAGCATAAGAGATGATCATATTTACTTTTTAAAAACCAAGCTTGAATGTTATCATTATAGCAGACATTTTGATTCACAAAATAAATATAGTGAAATGGCTTTGAGATGGAAACTATCAATTTTTCGAATTAATACCAAATAGTTCAGTGGCGTCAAGTGAGTGGAACAACATGATGATCACAGGTTTCACGAGTTCAAATCCCAGCGCAATTTTTCTTTTTGCTGTTAGTAACAAAATATTGTCATTCGTTTAAGTACCAAAATTGGATGAAATTTTATTTGCCAAAACAAAGATTTTTTTATACCAGTGAAATAAATAAATATTTCCACATAAGTCGCTCATTTTCAAACTTTAGGAAGACAGGTGATATGAGGCTTGTTGTTGATAATATTTTTACGAATCGAATTGCATGGTAAAATATAGAGTGTTCTATTTAAAAAAATATCATTTCATGAAATATTTTGAAAACGCGACTGTCATTATTCGGGAAAGCACTCAAGAAAAATTGATGGTTATTGGCTTCATCAGCTTAGTGTAGCCAAATGTAAACATGAGCAGTGACGGCTCGTGCATTGGAGAACAGGGGAGGCTTAAGTCATATAGACTATATACACACAGAAAAGCCCGCCGGAGGCGCAAAAATTTTTATGTTGTTGCACGCTTTGCTTAATAATAATGTAAAATTTATTATCATAAGATAAAAACTTGAAATTTGTCAGCAACCAATCGACGAATCGACTATATTGTCAGATTTTTCAATTTTGTCCAACTTATCCATAATAAATGAAAAAAAAAAACTAACCGAAAAGAGAAAACCTGAAAACACCTTAAAATTGAAAGAAAACACTTTAAAAACACATTGGAAATATTACCAAAAAGCACTGGTGTAATATAATACTGCCTGTTTCATACACAAATAACAAATATTATCAAGAAACACTAGAACGATTTACCGGAATATTTTTTAGTCCCGGTCCGTCACGGTATCCCGTTTGAATAATTAAATAAAAAACAAACGCATTCATGCACTAACGGAGACCAACTGGAGGCAAGCCAGGCAACCTAATTTCTGCAACTGAAATTACAAATCAGGACGTATGTCGCTAGTTGGATCGGTCTCGTGGAGCCTGTGTTTTTTAAAGCGGTCGGAGGCTTGGCTCCCTTGCAACGTATGGCATTTATTATTTCTGGTTGATAGTTTATTCGTTATTCGTTCATGGGCGGTGCGTTTGATTTTGTTGATGCAGGATACAGTGTGGTACGTACTACGTAGTGAGTGATAGTGTTTTGTCGGGCATATTATGTATTTATATTAAACATTAATGGTAAAGTAATGATACCCAAGCATTTTTAGAAAAAAATAATCATAGTTATTTGTCAATATCTTTTAATTTATTGCGATGAATAGTCTCAAATTTTATCGGGAGGCTAAGCCTCCCTTGCCTCCTTTGATGAGCCGCCACTGAAGATGAGCAACACTTGGTTGCCGAAAACGGGAAGATATCACAAACGATAACAGGGGCTGCCGCACATTTGTGATTCTAGTTAGGAGACCTAGAATTCCTAGGATATCCTAACATTACCACGAAGGCAGCTACAGCTACCTGCGTGACTTCCGAGTTCAGGATATAAATCTAAAATAGGGGAGTTATTGAGTGTCTATGATAAAATTTAAAAGGTGAAGATTATTTGAAAAAACACTCAAGAAAAATTGATGACAAATCCGTCGAAAAGCACTCAAGAAAAATTGATGGCAAACCGTTGACACGTGACTCCGTTCGTTTGAGCTGTCTTCCCGTTTTCGGTGTTGCTCATCTGTGCACTTGGCTACACCGCGCTGATGAGGTCAGCGCGGTGTAGCCAACATTTTTTCTTGAATGCTTTTCCAAATAACTTCACCTTTTGAATTTAAATATTTGTTTAACGACGTTTTGGCAAAGTCTCATTTGCCTTTCACTGGTGATGTTCCTATGGTGTTCGGAATCAGACTGACCTTATGGTTGTAAATGTTCACCTGAGTTTCTTCTTCCCGTTTGACCTTTTCTTCCCGTAAAGATTTATATTGACAACTTTAAGCTTCTCACAGATAGATTATGATAAACTGTTTTTTCGGGTTTTGATCCTTAATCTGTTGCCATTTGCAATGACTATTCGCGTCTTTTTGGAAATTGCACATTTTTAAATGAAATGGCACATCTGTAGGTATAATAGAGATTTGTGGTATTGATATATTTTCACCTCGGAACGTGCCATTTAAAATGCTGGCCTTGACAATAATACCACGAATGTCAACTTGTCACTCCAGATGGAATCGGCGATCGACAAATATATTTCGATCCGTTGACTCTGTGATTAAGTGATATCAAATTTGCACATACTCGCTCGGGAAAAAAGTAGCGAATATGGTAACCTTCAGGATTTTCATGAAATTTTTACAGACGGTTATAAAGTCACTAAAAACGATAAAAATCGTGAAATGCCTGGAAGCTACTTTTTTTTTAATGCGTCAAATGTCAAACATGGAAATAGGAGAACATGAGAAAATTACAATGCGACGTTGCCAATTTTTTCAAAATTTTTTCATTCTGAGTAAATATGGAAAAAACTTTGCGAATAGTTTCTAGAAATATCTGCGCCCCTAGAATTCGCAAAATGGCGGCCGAGCGCGCGCATCACTATTACTAGTTGGCCATTTTTCTCAAATGTATTATGTATGTATTATTATGTAAAAACCTAGATTTTTATAGACTGCCAAAACAAACAACCCGATCACCACTTAGTATTGAAAAAGAAGTGAAGATAGTTGCTCAATTCGCTTGCGTCATTGTTTAGGCTAGTTCGACAACCAATTTTCATCATCATTCTCATTGCCATACGACTTCTTTAGAAAAAAATTGGCGGCCCTGAAAAGGGTCATTTTTGTAATATAAAAAAATTATGAGCCGGTTTCTGAGTCGGAATATTCCTCTTCTTCAGCCACATGAACGTCATTCGACTCTTCAGAGGAATTTTTAGCGGTGTAAAGTTTTCCTGCCAATCTGAAAAATTCCTGTTCTGTTTAAGTTGAGTTAGGCACATCTTTTATGAAACATATAGCGAGCAAGATTTCCAGAAATGTGCGCTCTTTTACGTCCATTCCAAATTGTGACGACCGCCTTTGCGTGCCTCCAAGAAGACTCGATCGCATTGGTGTGTACACCCGTTTCAGGGTCCTTGAAAGTTATTGATTGGTTCACTTTCAAGTGGTTGTAGCCTTCACGAGAGAGGCAATCATATGTTTTCCAACAATTCGAATGGATCATTGAACCTTTCTCAAGCCAGTTCTTTATTGCCGGTGAAAGGCTATTTGTGTCTCGCCTTTCGACTGCTACTATGAACACTCTTTCCGTACCATGCTCAAAACCGACGGAAACCCATTGTTCTTCAACTCTATGGCCTCGATGATACTTGCGTTTTCCAAATTTATTCTCATCAATTTCCACAATGATACCGGGACCTCCTAGTTTTTCTAGTTTGGTGAAAAACGCATCGAAAACCACTTCCCTTCAAATCCACAGCAGCAGAGTTGTAAATTTCCAATTGCTCCATTATTGATGTCAAATTTTCATTCGACACCTAAAGATTGACAGATCCCAATATTTGAAAAATGGTTAATTAGGATTTGGAAAAAATTGTTCCATGTCGAAATTCTCATGCATATGATCATTTGCGTTTTTTCTGTTTTCGAACAGATACCATATTGGTGCACACCCATCTCCAACCATCTGACCTGACCCAATCAGACCTAACCTAACCTGACCTAATCTAACCTAACCTGACCTAACCTAACATAACCTGACCTAACCCCACTTAACCTAACCTTACCTGACCAATGCTAATCTGACTTGACCTAACCTGGCCTAACCTAATCTGACTTGAGATGACACAGCTCAACCTGACCTGACCTAACTTGACCTAACCAAACCTAGTCTGACCTAACCTGACATGACCCCACATAACCTAACCTGACCTTTTTTTTCCTTAGCCGCTTCCTGTGCTATTCCCTGGTACCGTCGTTAGACATTGCTTCAGGGATAGCTGGCATTTGGCTTGGAGGGGAAACCTTCATAGCACCGCGGGCTCCAAGGTTTCTTTCTCTTACTAGCAATTCCATCGGGGGAAACCCTGTTATAACATCAGTAACACCATCTTTGGATATCGTCCGGTAGGCACTACAGACCTTGATTAAAGTTGTTCGTTGGATTCTTGCTAGTTTTTGTGTCAGCTTTTTATTTTCAACGACTCTTTCCCACACTGGAGCGCCGCGCCGTATAGCAGCATTGAGTGAACTACACGTGCATATAGTTTCCTCTTCGGTGCTCTGTGTCCCCCCACAGTTGGTACGAGACAAGAGAGGGCAGTCATTGTTTTTTCCGCTTTCTCTATGGTTTTTTTAACATGTTCCGCAAAAGTAAGTTTTGTGTCTGCCCATATTCCTAAATACTTTACAGCCCTACTCGTTGTTATCGACACGTTTTCGACATCGAAATGGATGGGGGATATTTTTCTTTTGCTTGTCAGTAGCACTGCTTTAGTTTTTTGAGGAGCTATTTCCAGCAGGTTCTCCAGCATCCAATTTGTTACTGACCTGACTTAATCTAACCTGACCTGACCTAATCTAACCTGACCTGACCTGATCAAACACAACCTAACCTAACCTGACCCATCCTAACATAACCTAACCTGACCTAACCTAACCTTACCCGACCAAACCTAACCTATCCCGACCCAAACTAACCTAACCTGACCTAATTTGACCAGAGCTAACCCAATCTGACCTAACCTATAATGACCTGACCTGACCTAACCTAACCTAACCTAACCGGACCTCTTCTACATTTGTATAGAATGGGAAACTCTTTCAGTAGTTCCAGAAAAAAAACAGAGCAAACAAAACGCAAGGAACCAATGATTAAAAAAGCCGCCTTTGTCATAGTTCGATACAGAGAAGGAAAATACTTTAGAAATGGAAATATTTGAAAAAAACTGGTGAATGTATGCAGAACAACGTTATTTCGAAACTGATGTCCCAATATGGAAAAAATAGCAGTTGGTGAGTAAATTGTTAAAAAAAGAGGAAATTTATCTGAAGTCATTTGTTGAATTTATCTAACCCAAATTGACCGAACCTAACCTGATCTGACCTATCCCAACCTGAACTAACCTGACCTGAATCTAACTAACCTAACCTAACTCGACCCAAGACCCAACCTAACGAAGCAGAAACTGACAACTGACGTAACATAACGTCAAATTCCGTTTCAAAACCAACCTCACGCTAGTTTTGAATCATAATGAATACGTTTCAAATCATAGTTGATGTGACGTCATCGTTTCAACGCCAGAACAAATATATTTGAATAACATACGAATACGTTTCGAATACATGAGCATCAGAAAACGTCTTAAGCCGGAATTATATTATTGTCTCGTGGTGTGTCGTGACGCGCCACAAGTATATCGTATCCATACATTTAGTATGTTTAGAATTATATTACTGAAGTCCAGTGTGTCGTGACGCGATGACGCGATCTGTCGTGACAGCGATCGGTCGATTCCCAATCGGCGTCAGAACGATGGTGGGGATGGGGATCTGACGCGTCAGAACACTCCACGCACTAGTATATTTCTATCTGACGCGTTAACTAGCTAGATAATAGTCATTTGCATTTATTTGTGCACAATATGTCGGACGAACTTATTGAACTTGTAAGAAAATACGGGTATGCATGTTTTCAATATCATTTTCTATCATACTCTACTCAAATTGATTTTTTGACATCCTGAAATATTGATGAAATCTTTTTTTATCACTAGTAAATGATATTCGCTTCGACTACCTCTCAGATCATTTACTGGGTGAACCCAATATTTTCTCCTTTTTCTTTTCTTTTTAAGTAAATTCTACATTAGCAGGCACGCAAGGTTTTCCGGAATCCGAATCGGAGGAAAGCACTGTAGATGCTCGCATGCGTTTACTCCATAGGCCACCACTGTATTGGCTCGAAATAACGTAAGAGCCCGACCCGACATGACAGAATAGCCTGTACACTCGCCGTCACGTCAGAGAGCATCACAACACACCACAACATAATAATGTAATTCCGGCTTCACCTTAGAATAATTATAAGCCGCGCATACTTAAAATAGTCGTAGACTTGCTTTTTTAAGTAAGTTTTTGCAAAGCTTCCCATATATTATAATTGCTGTATTGCTCTGGAAAATTCAGAACCTATCGAAAGTTTAAAACAAACTTGTGTTCATTACTAAATCGGATTGCAAACAATGACTGTTGATGTAGAGTTAGGTATGAATGATGGTCGCTGTAAATGAGACTGTGAATGAAATGTACGTGAAGCCCGCCACGGACCTGAAGCCTCCACAAAAAAAACTGAAGAATATCTCGCCTTGATACTTTGTCAATGAGGCTGGAAGGTCCATCACATTTGAAACATAAATATTCACCTTCTTTCCGTATTAGCTGCCAGTTTCTCAAGTGCATCATGAAAGTAAATCATGCTTATTATCACAAATTTTATAAATTTTGACAATATTCCTATTATCAGTACGAATGCAACGAACTATCAAAACTGAATAGCAATTGTTTTTCTCAATCATTTAGATTTGCAATTTAAGGATATGGCCAACTACACAGTTTCGAAATCTCTTTACCCTTCCTGTATTTTTTTTATTGGGTTGGCAGAGCAGGAAAATACGTTAAAAATGGAAATATTTGAAAAAACTGATGAATATATGCAGAACAACGTTATTTCGAAACTGACGAGCCAATATGGAAAAAAATAGCGATAAATTGGTGAATAAATGACCACCTGAAATGATCTGTCAAATTTGCCTAATCACTTGGCAACACTGTGCGAGTGGTAAAGTTTGACAACTTTGACATTTGTTCATATACTTGTTATATTAGAAAAAACCACATAACATACCTATGGGTTTATAATAAAAATATCTGTGATTTTATGAATTTTGCAAAAAACAGCACTAAATAGGTGGATAAAGATGCAGTCGGTGTGTTGGCTACAAAAAAGAGAGTTTATAGTGTTGTACAGATTGCTAGAGTGACATTTCCTAAAACCTTATTTTTCAACTAAAAAAGAGCATATTTTCCAGTTTTATTTTCCACAAAAAAATTTCGCTTGCTACAGTATTTTTTTCCTGTTTTGAATCATCTGTGCAAGTTTCATGAAGATCCTGAAGGTTACCGTTTTCGCTACCTTTATCTTCGCTCGGCTCCTAATTTATAAAACTGAACACATCATTATCTGACTCGCAGCGTCAACTCCATGAAGGAAAAAATTTCACCGATGATGGCGCTATTCAAAACGATAAACAGTTGATCAAAATGTGATAATTGTTTTGAGTTGTTTTATTGTGAAGTTGTGGGAGTAATGTTTTTGGTACGATTATTATAGACATGAGACTCCTTATTACGTGGAATAAATTATTTTCGCTAACGGGCAGCACAAGAAACTACAAAGATTTGTGAAAACGTGAAACCTGCTTTGTTTAGTTCTAATATTTCCGAAAGATGTCGACTTCCTGAAAGTGACACTACTACTAGCACAGAATAATATAATTGCGTTGTATATAGAATAGTATTTTGTGCCAAAGTGGTTTGTGTCACTCTATGCCACTACTATCTCTGTATTTTGAAAGCAATACGGAAAAATTGTCATTATTTAGAATATAAGATTCAAGATTGAAGCAAAAGAGTTAATTCTAGATGAACTGGTGAAGGTAGTAATGGATACTTCTGATAGCGAGCACTTTGAAAGTGCAGATGAAGATCTTCATTCTGATAATGAGAATGAAAAACAGTCCATTAAATCTGTTTCTGAATATAAATCTGTTGATACGTTGAAAGTGGAGGTTGGCCTAAAAAAATTGAATTTGAAGGAATATTTAGATGATGATCATGATGAAGAGAAGAATAAAGTCCTAAGTCAAATAATACCAAATGTTGACTCTGGTATAGTCTGTGATTGTGAACAATCTAAAATTACAAGTTGCAAAAAAAACAATGACAATCAAAATGATGATGTAAATGAAGAAAACATTTTACCACAAAATATAGAGGAAGAAGAGGTTGCTAAGCCAGACACTGTTTCAACAAAAACCAATATTTCTGAGAATATAGCCCTTTGGAGTGAAGACAGACCGAATGTCTTAACACTTGTTGATAATTTAGTAGAAGAATTTGATAAGAGAAATATAAGGTCAGAATCTAAAGAGGTATTAGTTGATTCATCAGATGAAAACATGTGGGACAACGATGATTGGGAACCTGTGTTAGATACTGACAATGGTGAAATTATTAAACTACATGAAAATACTGGAAGTCAGGATGATGATGAGGATATGTGGGAAAATGACAAATGGGAGACTGTGGAGGAAGGAAGGGAAAAATGTCAGCCTAACACCGATAAAACCTCTAACCAAGAAAATCAGAGCTGGGGCAGTTGGGGTAATTGGGGGGTTTCCTCAATACTCAACACAGCCTCTCAAAGCGTTTCCACTTTAACAAATCAAGTGTCCCAAGGATTTTCTACAGTTTTGGAAACTAGTATGGGTATCCCAGATGCTGAAGAGCTTGCAAAATTACACAAAGAGGAAGAAAGTTTGGAACTAAAATCTGAATCTGTGGAGCAGAAGTCCGGGTCAGTAGGACCGGAAACTTCTGGTCAAAATTTTTCTACTTTTGGTTTCGGAAACTTGTCTAATTTAGTTTCTGGAGTGTCTAATTTAACCAAATTTGTGGAACACACTGGAACGAAAGTTATCACTGGAGGTTTGGACACCTTGGAAACTATTGGTAAGACTATTGTTAGAAGTTTTAATTATAGTGAATATTGTTCACAACAGAATTTCTATTTTGAATTACACAATATATTTGTTTCCACCAAACAATGAAGAGATGATAGTAATGTGTTAGTACCAGTATTAATCAGTTTATTATCAATTAATATAAGAGGAACAGTTCTCAGTTTCACTGATGACAAGGTGATAGCTTATACAACAGGCAGTTGGGATAATATGACACTCATGACCTAAACAAATTTTCAGTTGATTGAAAAATGGTTGGAGAGTACAATGAATTGATATAAATAAAAATCGTTAAGTATCTTTCTTCAACATAATATATAAATTGTAATATATTAATTTCTAAGGAGGTATGTCCAAAGTGAGTGGGTTTATTTGACTTTCCAGTGTATGAGGGTTTAATGAATATATCTCTTTACAGTAAAATGTAATTTGATAGTGAATAAAACCTATTAAACATTAAATCTAATATTTGGATACACAAGTCATTAAATATCTACTCAAATTTTTCTATAGTCTATTTCAAAAGAGTGTAGAGTAATAAAATCTCATTAAGTATTCAAAAGCGCTACAGGGTGATCCGTCAATAAATTCTGTCACTTCCCTAGTCCGCATTGCAAAATTATGTCGTTTCATAAAGAGCAGGTAGGTATCACCCTGTTTTAAGGGATTTGTCCATTGTTATCGACGGATAAATACTGAGCNTTAGACCAAATTACTTCCCAAAAATGGCCTTTTATTATTATCTATGTCTGTAATTTTTAATTTACTTTAATTATTAAGTTTAATAATCCTAAGATTTGCCTACGCCCATGGACGACAACGAAATTCAGGCAAATTTTATGACACTTCATGATTTATTACTCTACACTCTTTTGAAATAGACTATAACTTACTTTTTCTTGAGATAGCAATAGCAAACATATCATATGCATGTTGGATCAAGTCCAAGAAAATTAATCTATGAATCTCTTGCTCAAATCTCTTCATGAACAGATTAACCACAAAAGAAAAAAGTTGGTTCCTCATTTCCTCTCCCAGTAGCTGTCTGTAGAAACAGACAATTAAATAATAAACTGCAACCTCTGGCTTAGAATAAATCCAAAATAAGTACTTTTCCCAAACACCAGGACTGCAATACTCTGCTCGATGCATGTTTCACCAACCAAGTTGGCGTCTTCAGGAGATGAACTAATAATTGAAAGAAAGAAATGTAACCAACTCATTTGATGGACATGTGATGAAAAAATTACGGATTTCTACATTGGGGTCACTCATTCTATTATTATCTTATGGAACTTATTATTCTAACAAAATAAATTGACAATGGTACAATACTAGAAGGTATTAGGTCGTTTCGAAAGTTTTGTCCATTTTAATGTCATGTGTTTTTGTAGTTCCATATCTCAATAAATATGTATTCTACCGTTTCTACTATATGATGTCGTTGAGCGATTTTCAGACAATTATTCTCTACGAATTCAAATTGTACAAAAGCACTGCTGAAACAGCCCAAAAAGTAACCAGGCATTTGGCAATGTAGTGTCAATGAACTCTCTGTTCAACGTTGGTTTGCAAAATTTCGTCCTGGTGATTTCAGCCTCGAAAATCAGCGCCGAAATGGTCGACGTACAGTGATCCAGGACAAGGATTTGAGGACCCTAGTGGAGACTGACCATCAGAAACGGTTCGAAGGATGATGGAAGAACTGAACGTCAGTTCCCGTACAGATTTCAATGGTTTAAAACGTATGGGAAAGGTCAGGAAGCTCGAAAAGTGTGTGTCCCACAATTTGAACGATCAACAGCAATTGTCACCTTTTGAGGTCTCATCTTCTTTGTTTTTGCGCAACCAAAACGATCCTTTTTTGGATCGGATCGTCACGTATGATGAAAAGTAGATCCTCTAAGACGACATGAGACGTTCAGGACAATGGGTGGACACCGATGAGCCACCCAGATATTTCCCAAAGGCAAAAAGCCACCAAAAAAAACATTGTTACTGTATGGTGGTCAGCAACTGGTGTGATTCTCTGTAATCTTTAACAACCGGGGCAAACCACCACACACAGTAGAGTTCTATTGTGAGGAAATCGACGAAATGTACCGGAAATTGCGTCAGCAGCAGAGGAGGTCCGGCCCTGGTCCACGACAAAGCCCTAAAATTAAACGAATTGAGCGAAATTCTGCCTCATCAACCATACTTTCCAGATCTCTTGCCAACCGACTACTATTTTTTCAAGCACTTCAATAACTTTCTCACCGGTAGAAGCTTCGTCAATCAGGACCAGGCAAAAACGGCCTTTGTCAACTTCATCGAATCTCAAGTACACAATTTTTATGCCAACGGAATTGAACTATTAGTGTTATGTTGACAAAAGTGCACTGATTCAAATGGCGTTTATTTCGATTAAATTGAATAAGTATTCACTGAGATATTAGAGTTTGAAGTAGACTCATAAAAACAAACAAAACTTTTGAAACGACCTAATAATTCTCTAGTGATATATGACGAAATTTATTTGTATTGTCACCGATATTATTGAAATTTTGTAGGTAGTCAAGGAAATGTTTACAAAGCTACAATTCAATAACATAACCACCACGTGTTGATGAGGTTAAAGTATAAGTTTAATTTATTTTGTAGTAAACGAAATGACGTGAAATTCAAATGTTTTTACTTTTTAAATTTTTTGTGTTAGCATAGCCGGCCACGTGTTACTTAGACTGAAGTGTAAATTAAATTCATATTATAGTGAAGGTAATACAGTGAAATTATTTCTGCTTTTTAATTATTTGTGCTTCATTGTTCAAAACTCTTTAATGAAAATATATACATGTAAGTATTATCACATAGTTATAAAAGTCAATTAACATATCTATGAGAAAATGGTACAAAGCTCCCCACACTTTTGCAATAATTGTACAATTTTTTTTTTTATTTTTATTTAACCTCTATTAAAAATTATTTTGCACTTCTCATTTCAATGTGCTATAGTAGCATGTTTTTCAGTTTTTTTTTCTAAGATTTGAACGTTTAAATTATTATTTTCAGTCAAATGCCACCAAAAAAATCTAACCTCAACAACGCGAGGAGCAGAGAGGCAAGACGCAAACGTGCAGAAAGAGCTCATCAGTCGGCAGAACAAATCGCAACAAGAAATACAGCTCAAAGAATCAGGACAGTAGAAAGTCGTGAACAAGAATCTCAAGAACAGCGTGATGAACGTCTGCGACAGACTATTACGAGAACAAGAGCGGCACGAGAGCGAAACATAGCTACAGCACGAGTACAAGAACGACAGCAGACCAACCTCTCATTAACACGTACATCATTTGTTCGTCTTGCTTTTGAATATGCACCTGATATTAACTACTCTGCGCATTCAAAAATTGCTATAGGTGAAATGGCTGATACAAAAACTAAAGTCCCTTGTTTTGATAGTGGAATACAATTTGAGTGCCATGGTGTGGTAAAAATAGTACGAGCACAGGAAATTGTTGAGTTATTCAATACGTATTTCGTTAAAAGTATTGCAGAAACATTGAACTCAATTGAAAAGGCCCCTTACTACTGTTATGCTATGGAATAGCCTTAATACTGTTAACAGTCACTTTTCTGAATTCAAACAAATTCGATTACCCGAGCTTTCCACAATTATACATGACCTGGAGAATAAGACTGCTAGTGAAATCATTGACATTAAATTCATAAAACAGACCTTTGGAGTCATATATTATTACACTTTATCAATATCTAACTATTTTATGGCACATTTCCAAGTCAGCTGAAAACAAGTATTTTAACCCCTATTCAGAAGGTGGCAAACACTAACAAAGCATGGGAGTTCAGACCAGTCAATACATTACCTGGTATAGAAAAAGTGCTGGAGATAGTTGTTTACCAACAACTACTTGATTATCTGAATCAAAATAATTTGTTAATGACTTATCAATCATGCTTTAGACAGAATCATTCATGTAAAGCATCACTACAGTTAACCATAACAAAATGGAAAAAATCAATTGATAGTGGTGATTATGTAGTTGCAGTTTTCTTGGACTTGAAGGGAGCTTTTGAAACGATTGATCGCCAAATACTGATTGATAAGTTGAAAGCTATAGGCATACAAGGTACTGTATTGAACTGGATCAGGGACTACCTAACAGATCGCAAACAGATCACCAAAGTGGAAAATGTATTCCCGACTCCCATCACCAATAACTTCGGTGTACCACAGGGAAGTGTCTTGGGTCCTTTATTATTCCTATGCTATATCAATGATATACAATACTATCATGACTGTGATTTTCTTAATTTATTTGCAGATGACACGTTACTGTCAATCTCAGGCAATGATCTGTATGGTACTATCAACAAGATGAACGATTCCCTATCAAAACTACAAGTATATTTCAATATTAACAAAATGAAACTCAATGTGAAAAATGTGAGGCAATAATCCTAATCACACCCTTTAAATACAAAAACGTCAACTCAAACCAACTCAATCTAAGTGAATTTACTATGATTAACTACCAAATACATAACTATACTACTAGAGGAAATAATATGTTTCATCTCCCTAATTGGAAAATGGCAAACTCAATGAAATCGCTATTCTATAAGGGACTCGATGAGTTCAATAAGCTACCACAAGACATCAAGCAATCTAATACCATTTATGTATTTAAAATGAGGATCAGTAAACATATCCAGTCACTATAAATCACCAGAATGTATTACAATATAATCAATCTTGTTCACACGAATTTATTTATATACTTTGAGTGCATTATTTTATTTTATTTTTATTATATAACTATTAGTCTAGGAACATGTTTGTATAGCTATTTTTTATTTTTATATTAGGACATGTCCTAAATAAATAAAGTTCTCTCTCTCTCTCTCTATTGTCAGGCATTGAAATTAAGGAATGAAATAGCCGGCATGTGCTGCGCATCCGCCGGAACCTTTATTATCCCTTCTTGCTGGCGATTCAGATGATTCAAAATAATTTTTGCGTATAAGATACGCAAATTTAATTATTGCTTCCAAATGACGTGATTTGGGGCAACTAAAACTTGCGATCTCGCATCTGATGGACATAATTTTGAAACTATATTCAAAATACAAGGCCAGGTGTACCATAAACTCGGGATATTGATGCCTGATGATAATCCGAAATTTCTTCAAATTTATTTTATGGGCAATTGTGAAAAGCGTGTGACGACTCGGTGGCATCTATGTAAAAAAGCATGACTTGACTGATTTTCTCCTACCGTTCCTCTTAAATAGTTTACTACAATGTAGTATCTCATTCTTAAGGATTTTTTATTGCAGACATTTATATTATTAGATGTTATTCAGAACACCACCTTTATATTAACTTATTTTGCTAATGAAATATGTTAATGCAGAAGCTGTCACAATTAACATTCACTAAAAAAAAAATGTTCACACATATAAAATGAAAGCAAGCAAACAATAAGTATCACAGATAGATTTACAGAATGCTGCTTCAAATTTCAAGTTATTTATACACATTTTTACAACCATATTCTTCATATTGTGGTAGTACCTCTTCAATAAATAAAATCAATGCCTTGTCTTGAGCATGCTTGCATTAATGCTAAGTTGTGAAAATTCAATCAACTTATATAAACCTGAACTAATGAAGAGAAATGATGAAGTAGGTAATTCTTGTTTTTTAGGTAAAAAAACAATGGAAGTTCTGCAAGAAGGTGACCCAGGTTTAAAAAATAAAAGAGCTTTCTTAAAGTTAGACAAAGATAAGCCTGTCCTCTCACAGGTTCTGAGGGAAGCCAAAGAGAAGGCTGAACAGGAGAATAAAGTTCTTCAACAAAAAAATATCGCCAAAAAACTGAACTATGAAAGTTTATTTGACGACTATCATGGCTTGGTGCACTTGGAAGCTCTCGAAATGCTCTCAAAACAGTGTGACATCAAGTTGCAAACTTTGAAGGACGGTTGTACAGGAAATGAGTTAACAGATATATTGGAGACTTTAGACCAAATAAAAGAGTTGTGTGAGTTGCCAGATGAAGATGATGAGGACCAACCAAGTTTAGGAGACATAGAAGAAAGGATATGTTCTGCTGTGCAAGAAATCGACATAAAAATTTCGTATGACAAATTATTCTGTACTTGGAAGGAAACAGAAGGCTGGTTGAATAATTTGAAATTAAATTTTTGTGATGAAACAGAAATACACCAAGAGGCTTTACAGTCTTTGGCACGATTAACAGCTCTGGCTGTTGAACAGTTTCATAAAGCAGGGGAATTGTTGTTGATTAAGGAACATCGCAGTACAGCAGATGAGGCAGACAGTCTAGTACAGTAAGATACCTTTTTTATCCATAATTTTGTACTCCTTCAGGCGAGATTTCTTCAATTATTTATGTATCGGCAGTACATCTAATATAAAACAAAAATGCATATTTCAAATAGGAAATTAAAGTCAATAACCAATTGTCATATGAGGCAAGACTTCTGCTCAACATTACCAAATTATAAATGAAAAATGTTATCAATCACCATAACATATTTTGCAAATTTCTGGAACTTTTTAGTAACGTTAATTTCAGTTTAGTTAGAATTCATGGTTGAAATACATTCATAATGTTATGGGTAATAAATCAAATATTTTTCTTCCAGTATATTTAGCAAGTTATAATGAAATATCCAGATCAGTATTTGAAAAAAGTTTGATGGTATCCCAGAGGATACGATTTTCTGAATATGGACAAAAAATATCTAACATTTAAACTTGATAACATACATTGCAATAACATACGGAAAAAACACATAAAATAATAAAATAAATATTACATAGGACTCTTTGCAGTATAGGCATTAAGATAATTTATCTAGTAGAAGTTAGGATGATTCTGAAACTTTACATCACTGACGAACTGGGAATAGCTATGATGCTCCCTAGGTGGCTTGGAGAGATAAAAATATTGCCTACCCAGAGCACAAGGCTACTGATATTGCAGTCAATGGCATTGATAAAAAAAACAAAAGCAAGGTTGCAACGTAAATAGTTATTTTTGTATTAAGTGTGTAAAATGAGTGTTTTTAATGGCACATGAGAGTGTTAAAATTCTCTTGAATATGCCATGAAAACACGAATTTATACACGAAATAAAAACAATATTATTTGTACAACTTTTTTTTTCAATTATAATTTAACATTGTAATTTATGCTTTAAAAGGGGCTTGCCCATAAATCTGTTTTTCCCTTAACCAGCTGTAGCTAAATAATACTTCTCTTTTCCACACATTCCATCCTCGATGTTATCGATACTTCTAATATAATTTCACAGCATCCAGTGGTCTTTCTGTATCATTACTATAGAAAGATTTGTTGGCACGCCGCGTGCTTCACTATGTTTGCTCGTAGTTGCTTCAATTTCAAGTTATTTTCAAAAAGATGGATGTTGATTATAATAGTGGTAGTGATACCTCATTAGATATATCTGAGCAAGCAAAGGCAAGTGCGTCAAGAAACATGTAAAAAAAAAAGGTTTCTGAAAATGTGCTTATATGCCGTTTTGTGGAAAAATCAAGATTATAAGACATCCTACGTTTTTTCTGAATTATTATGACAGTGAAAAAAAAGAAACATTTACGCATCAATAGAGAACCTCTATTGAGATGCAAAAAGTTTTTTTGACAGTTGTTCAAAAATGAATTATTTTCTTGGTAAAATGATTCAGTGCTTAAATTTCTTTGAAAGAAACTCATCTATATAATAGAAACAGTTTTGTAGTATATATGCCTTTGTTTTTATTCTGAATTGGTCATAATTGGTGAGCCTAGTGGAGGAAATTTTGAAAAATTCGGATATTGAATAGAATTTTTTTGGATACAAGAAAATGTTATGATATATCTCACAAAATAGCATAATCATAGATCTGGCCAGTCTTTCAGTGATGCTATTCAGTTGGTGGAAGAACAATATTTTGGATTCAATGGACAGTAAACTTTTTTTTTCTCATTAAATTGACTTTTTGCTTTTTTGTATATTTCTACAATATACTAATAATTTTGCAATAAATGGCTCAAAAGTGTTCCAATTGAAAATGGAACTCAATTTTATTTCCAGAAAAGTTTTAAAAATCGAATATACCTTTGAGTGATACAATATACTTTTTATTTCAGAATAACTGTAGCACTGACTTCTGTTATTGGAGTTGTAGCAGGAAAATTTTCTGATAAATTGAATGAGAAGGCAGCAGGACATGAAAACGTAGCAAACATCAATGAATTGATTACCAATGTGTTTTTTGAGGTAACTTATTTCAAATTTTATTTTATATCTCCCCTTTTTTGACATTGGATATTTTCACAGGCCGCTAATAGTACCTCTTACATACAAGATGCCTTTCAGCTTTTGGTACCAGTACTGCAAGTAGGTGCAGTTTAAAGGATATATGTGATAACTTTAGATGTAACTATATAAAGTAATATTTCTGAATAAAATGAAACTATGGAGGAAGTATAAACTAAAATTAGAAACAGCTTTTGTAGATCAACAATTTTTTCACATTTTTACCAACTAGTTGTATGTAGTATGGAATCAGTTCTTTATATATTTTATTTATTGGTTTATATACATAAATATTTGTAAGCATTCTGATATTAAAGAAGGATGATGGTTTTCATTTTTTTTTTCACTGCCCATTGTATCAGAAGGTTGACGATGCAATTGATAGATTTCATGAAGTTGGTGAAACTAATTATTGTTTAATATTTATTGGATCACTCAAATTTTCAAATTGTTGTCTGTAATAGATGGGACATCATTTGGACTTCTGATTATTTTAGAAATAAATAATCAATCTTCATTGTCTTGAGGATTTTTTATTTAAATATTGGAAAACATTTTTATGAAAATTCCATGATAATTATACAATTTTCATTCAAGAAGTGTTTTGCTACATGCTGACTTCATCATTTGGACTAGTACATCAAACTATTCTTAGTGTCTTTCATTTAACACTAGGTACAATATTACTTCTAAAAAAACAGGTAATTTATGAATATTTTAATTATGGACATTTTATGAAGACATGTTGGGCGTTTGTTTTTATTGATTTTCAGAGATTCTAACGGGTTTTATTTTTGTCCTTTATTTTTTGTATGTAATAGTTTATGTTGAAATTATAGCAGTTTTCTAACAGATGACTAGCATAAGTGGAATTAGTTTTTCTTCAGTTTGAAATTTCTTGAATCCACATGCTAGTGTGAAGACCATCGATTTATCTTTGACTTGTTATTTATATGCCTAGCTAAAGAGTTACCAGTCTTATATGCTATGTTGATGTCGGTAGTCATTTTTATATAATCTGGTGATTTTCCTGTAGATGTGTGTTTTGTAGGTGTTAGTGATATTTTTAATGTCAAGGTATACTTGGTTATTGGCCTGTTAGCAAAGTTTTTGCCAAAAATATGATGAATCTCGTGTTCGTGTTGAAGTTATCACCTCAATTTGTTTCATCCATATGGTAAATATTAACATACCTACACTTATTACTTAATATCATTACCATTATATGCAGACGGCACATTGAGAAACTCATGAGTCTGTGGATCAAGCTGATAATTCATGTTGATGAGGTTGATTAGAATGGTTATTGATAGTTGTGTCTGTATGAGTTAGTTCTTGGTAAATTGCGAAATGATGATGATTTTTGCAATTATGAGGTCTAAAAGTGTATCGATTTATTGGTTTCTAGTTCTATTGTGATTTTTTTTTTCATGAATAGAGTTGATGTTTTGAAATAATGAGTAATTGTCAATGTGTTCCTACGAAGCAAACTATAACCGTGTTAAAATACCAATACAGATATTTGTGAGAATTTATCTAGTTGAAGTTAGGTCAACTGTAAATAACCATGATACACCATAGGCGCCTCGAAGAATTGTTAACATACCTACCCAGAACAGAAGGCTAAAGACCTTATCATTTGGTGCTAAGATGCACTGAAAAAAAACCTTGAAAATCGCTAGTGCCATAATGTAAATTCAGTATAAACATTATGCTAGCTATACACTAATCATCATTACATAATTATCAAAAACCATATAAACATGGTAAGCAACTAGAACAAAGTTCTGCTATAAAATTGCTAGGTATCCATTTTGATAGCATTTTAAGTTAAAATTCTCAACTCACGAAATTATCTATTCAAAAATTCATGAAATATTTTCGCACATCAACTTTGAAATATTTACTTTGTTAAAGTGGTTGAGAAGGGAGTGTACTTTTAAGGTTGGTCCTTACATGCAAGTAATGTTTTTATCGTTTCAAAATGGTTGACAATGTTGCTTGATGAAAATTCCAACTTCCATTGTCTAAAAGGACGTTAGCAGATTTGAAATCTACGAAAGAACGAATAAATTAAAATTATTGGACCAAAGTATTCAGATGAGTTAGTTGAAACAGAAATAATAGATATAAAAAATTTAACAAAAAAGAATAATCAACGAGTATACAAATTTTAAAAAAATGAAAACCACTATAATATAATTTTTGAAGTAAACAAATTATTGTGACCAAATATGAAATTGAATTATGGCTCAACAATATACAAAATGTCAAATATATGTTCAAAAACCAAAATAAATGACAAAAAAATGCAAAAAAGTTAAATTTAAAATTTCAAACCAAGTTACTTCATGAAATCTCTATTATTAGTATCCACAATGTCAAATATAAACAAACTAAAATGGAATGAAAAATAAAGTAATCAACAAATAATAAAAATGTGGAAACAATGAAAAATTAAAGATTTCAACCAAGTTACCTTACGACATTTCGATTGTTAGTATCCACCATCGAAATGTCCTAAAGCAATTCTGTTTGAAATATTTTATTTTTTTGCAGTTATCCTGATTGTATTATTTGGAAAATAACAATCAAAACCTCATGATATAGCTCACTTCAAAATCTTAATTCCTTCATTTTTCAATTATTTTGCCCTTTTTATTATTTATCTTGATCATTTCTATCCTCAATACTTGATATACAAATTTAAATAATATTATAATTTAAATATGTTTTGTAATTGTTTTTTGGTATCTGAAGGATCCACAACTTTGTGACCAATCACCCGTTTGTCATTGAATATTTCATAATCGTTTCCTCCTTGATCAGTTTTGTCACCAAAGAAATGTATCTCGTCAAAACCCTCATTTTCCAAATGACGTAAACAGAACGTTTTATCCCACCCGTTTGGAAACACATCAAAACTGATTTGACCACCAATACTATATGTCACACCCATATCAGGAAATTCTTTCTTCAAACTTTCAATCATAGTTTTTCGGATGTTATGTTCGTTATCATATTTCAAAAAAGCCTCCCTCTCTTCTTGAGAGCAGGACCTGCCAACTGGAGAAATATTCAACATTCCACTCCTGAATTCCACAAAATTTCCTCTCTTAACAGGCAACTTTATTGTTGACAAATACTTCAGAACAAAGTTGATGAATGTTTGCAAAGCTTCTTCCCCTAAAAAGTTTTGGATGCTCTGCCTTCCAATTTCTTTTCCTTGCTTGAATTGAACCAACCCATTCTCAGCAAAAACATATTCGAATTTGTTCACCACATCTTCGCCTTTCATCTGTTCAGCGATTTTTTTGAAGTCCGAGCCGCCTACAAGACCAAGTGTACACAAGGGTTTAACTTTGTTCAACAAAAAATTGTAAAAATCATCTTCAATCGCTATCCTTGGTTTGGTTAAAGTGCCATCCACATCGAACAGGCACATAATTTTTTTAGCAGAGGGCATTTTCAACAAACTTTATGGAGATATTGAATGGAAACTTGACACGTAGAGCTTTGCAAATTGATGATTCATGGAACTGATTAGTGAACACGTAAACTAATATATTTTTCCAACAAATTTATTTGTTTACAATCATGGCACAGAATGATACAAGATTTTAGCCGCTACTTTAGTAATGACACTGAAGGAAAATAGCGCTAAATTTGAATATATATATATTTATATGATGGGTGCTTTTTCGGGTTTCATTTCGTGTTCTGTGTTTTGAATCCTCACAAGGATCATTTTCACGACGTTTCGGCAAAGTATCATTTGCCATCTTCTGGTGATGTCTGGCTTTTGGATATAGGAACCCTGCTACAGCCTCACTAAGACCAGTGTCTCTAAGACCATGCTTCCTTCACAATTTGCTGTCAAGTTATTCTGGTCAGAGATGTAGCCACTGAAGTCTGGTTTTTACCAATTTTTATAATACAAATTTTCCATATGGTAAATATTAACATACCTACACTTATTAATTAATATCATTACCATTATATGCAGACGGCATTCTAGAAATTGTTATTATTTGAATTAGGTTTCAAATTTAAGATAGCAAGATTTGCCACTTCTGTCAGTTGATCTGTATATTAATCGAATTTTCAAGCGCATCTGTCAACCGAACTCCTCTATTTTTTTCTCTCTCTTTATGTTAATGGATGTTGCTTCCATTGAGGCGCATATTAATAGTATATTATATACCTAGGGTGAGAAGTGAGCTATCGTTTACCGAGCATTTTTATATCCTGAGGCGCGTAGCGCCGAGGGATATAATGTGCGAGGTAAATAATAGCTTTCTCAGCCGAGGTATATATAGAATTTTTTTCACTACTAACATTGATATATTAACAATTTTAATTTTGGCATTAGTAATTTTCTAACAATTTGATAACTCTAAGATTGTAGATAATTTCGTTGGTCAATTAAAATCCACGATGAAGTGCACACATTTGCGGAGACTCATCTGTAACCTTCGATCCTTTCTGGGATTTGTCACTCCAAATACCACAAAGAACTGACCAATTGAATTTATCACACTGCTTGGATTTTTTCACAAAAGAGGAAACTTTGGATGGACGTGAAAAACCGACGTGTTCAAGTTGCAAGGAAAGGAGAAAATGCACAAAGTCTCTATCGATCCATAAGTTTCCCCGTATTCTAGTCATTCACTTTAAAAGATTTTCTCAAACAGAAAGATTTAGAGGCAAGTTAAAAGTTGCTATCGAATTTCCTCTAGATGGATTAGACATGAACAATTATGCAGCAGAAAATGTGACTCCTTGTCGTTATAATCTATATGCACTTTCGAATCACAGTGGATCTACCTACAGCGGACATTATACAGCATTCTGCAGACATCCTTATACTGGCACGTGGCACGAATACAATGATTCACACGTGTCACCATTTTCACCAAAATCGCTTGTGAGTGGAGATGTATACATCCTCTTTTATGAAAAAGAGGAAACAAGTTCGTACCTTTGAGCGTTTGGAAATGTTATTTTTGTACTGTTGTTTTTAATGTTATAATGAATTAGTTATGTGAGATTTATGTTATATTATATGAAAATGTGTTGAATATACCGGAATATCAAGTAGAGTGGAGCGTGTTTCTAATCAGATTAGCTTTATTTATGTAAAAATTTGGCATATTTTGATATGCATCTAGGAAATATCTCATTGCATTTTTGATATATTTCAATGTTCCACTTCTCTCATCGCTTCTGTATGTTCAGAACTTAGAATTTCTCAATTCTAGTGAGAGAAAAATTTCCTTGGTTATATGATAACCCAAGGCATCTATGAATTGTTGCATGTCAAATTGAAACGGTACAGTTTCCATGTTGAGTACACGATGTCGATAATAAGCGCGCAACATCTTCTTAGGCCATGAAAACGTTTGCCGGCGTTTCCATGATAACCAAACACTGTACAATGATTATTATTGCTGTCAGTTTGCCAAATGCGGTTTTAATTCAAATTTAGATGTCATTTTGAAGAAATTAAAAGATCTATATAAGTAAAACGTCAATATAATTAATTGAAAAATGGGTGAAAATTCAAGTAACAATGATTTAGAGATGATGTGTACCCCGCCTTAAGTTAAAATTATAGAATTGTTCTCATTATTCACCTAGGTGTTTTTTATTATCATTATTTACCAAGGGTAAGAAATATTAATTCTCGTTAGGGGAATGGAGTAAATAATAGCAATTTCTCAGGTTAGTAGTGAAAAAACAATTTTATTTACCTTCCCCTATTTGTTTGGGTCAAATTTAGTAATTGAAGTTAACTCCCTTCCTGTTAACAGATTGATCTGATATTTGGTATACGAATTTAGTTTTGATGACAATACAATTTAATAAATTTTGTATAATTGTAAATACAAGATGACCGCAGCTACAAAATGGTGGATTAGATATTTTTTCACAACTACACCAATATGGGTATCAAATAAAAGGGCTCGCCTAGTTAGTACACTATGAAAAAGATGCAAATTCAAGATGACCACAGCTACAAAATGTATTGAGGGGTTAGATTGCAACAAATTGTTAGGTACTACACCTTATAATACTGAGGCACTAAATGAACCAAACAGAATGAGAAGATTGAGTAACAAAATTAAAAATTCAATAAGTAAAAAAAAAATAAATTGAACGGTTTTATTGAAAAAAAATTGTAATGATATAGATAATGTACTAAAAAAGGATTCGGAAGGTCCTAGGTGTAGCAGTAATCACACCACTCTCCTCAGCAATCTACGGTATTGATACAAAAAATCGTTGGGCGTAGCGTAACCTGAATAAATATGTAGGTAAATACTACTCCCAACGATTTTATTATTTTTTTATCTGATCAATACCGTAGATTGCTCAGCAAAGTGGTATGATGACTAATATCTAGGACCTTCCGAATAACTTTTTAGTTTTTAGTACATTATCTACATTATTATCTTCTTTTTTTAATGAAACCGTTTAACATATTTTTTTTTACTCATTTTAATAATGAACTGCTCGGTTAACCAAATTGGAAAACGGAACATAGCCTAACACCAATACATCTGTATACATCCTTCGGACACAGGCTTGCAAGTTGCAAGCTGCAAGTGTCCCCTGACGAAGCTTTCGTGATAGTCAGCTACGTAACAGGAGGAGCATATTGGTCATATGCGCCCACCGACACCGATGTATGCGCCTGAAGATAGGAAGCAACGACCATCCAAAATAGACAGAAACAACACTTAACCACAGAATAATTTCTGTGAACTAACCTCTTCTCATAAAGTAAACAAATATGTATTCCTGTAGTTTGAAACGATTCCCTTCTTTTTTTAACTCCTCTCGAAAACGAAATTATTGTCGAGAAGTTCCAGAAAGTATTTTAAATGTCTTGAAAAATTCAGCCGTTGGTGATGAAGTTAATATAAAGGTTCCAAAGTATTTCTATTGTATTCTTTATATTTCTTAAAACTGAACTTTTTTATCGTCTAGGGATGGGTTAAATCGTTGAGGAAACAAAAGGAAAATGTCTTCGTAGACCTCAACGATGGGTCAACTGGACAAAAGTTACAAGTTATTATACCTCAAAATTTATTTCCCAAAAATGTAAGTCCAGGTGCTTCTATAAGTGCTAGTGGCTTATTGAAATCATCACCGAAGGGACAAATTGAATTAAATGCCAATGAAATCAAAATATATGGAGAATGTGTAATTGCGGATGGTTATCCGTTTTCTCCGAAGAAGTGGTATGCACCAGAATATATAAGACAGTATCTCCATTTGAGACCAAGGATCAACAGATTTGCATCCTTGATGAGAACAAGGAGCACCGCAACTTTTGTTATACATGAGTATTTACAATCTGAAGGATACATAAATGTCCACACTCCTATTTTAACCTCTAATGACTGTGAAGGTGCAGGAGAAATTTTCAGAGTAATTCCAGAAAGTAAAGATCTACTTAAATCAATGGTCAAGGAAGGAGAATCAATTGATGAAGCCTTTTTCGATACAAAGACATTTTTGACTGTGTCAGGACAATTACATCTTGAAGCAGCTGCTCATGGTTTAAACAAAGTGTACAGTTTTGGCCCCACCTTCAGAGCAGAAAACTCTAGGAGTAGACTTCACCTAGCAGAGTTTTATATGCTTGAAGCCGAAGTTGCTTTTCTAGAAGATATGCAAAAATTATTATCTGTCATCGAAAATTTGTTGAAAAATGTGACTAAATTAATGTTGGATAGATGTGAAAATGATATAAATTCTTGTCAAGAAGAAAAGCCTGACTTCAATTGGCTGAACAAAAATTTTCCTATATTGACTTATGACGAGTCTGTCAATATTTTGAAGGATAACCAACCAGTATTTTCAGAGGGATATAAGCCAGAAGAAGGTATTTCAAAAGAGCATGAATTATTTTTAGTGAAACATTGTGGAAATGTTCCAGTATTCATTATAAATTGGCCTAAAAACATCAAACCCTTTTACATGAGAGAATGCCAGGATGATAGAACCAAGGTAACAGAACATTTTGCTTTGGACTCTGAAGTAAAGATGGTGTTGCCATCAAAAATGTTTGAAGTAAAATATTCTAGTTTTTTGTAGAAACAAGCATGATCAATTACTCTATTTTGCTAACATTTTGTAGTCAAAGATAGTGACCTTTAGCACCTGGAGATTACTGTATTGAAGCTATTTTCTGGGTTTTTATATCTGATGTTTTGTCTACTACTGTGGTAGACATTGTCATAGGCGATGTGGTAACAGTTGAAGTGCTTGAGTTTTTCTTAAAGCAGAAACTAAAAGGCCTCTGGTTTTATATCATCATTGCTGGGTGTGGCTTTGTTTCTCTTAATTGGATTACATGACCTTGTTTGTGTACAATTAAGGATTGTTTGTAATCCACATATTTCCAGTGGGAAGGTTTTTTACAAATATACAGATGGTAACGCAATAGGCAGACCAGTAAGTCCGGTGGTGGCAAACTTTTACATGGAAAACTTGGAACAAATGGCATATTGTTGGCTGTGTTATGTTAATGATACTTTCGTGGTATGGCAAGATGTGAAGAGGCAATGAATGATTTTCCAAACTCTCTCAACCCAAAAATCTAATTCACAATGTAACGAAAAACACAAGAGAATAGTTCTTGGTTTTTCTTTTGAACAGACGTGAAAATGGGACATTGGGCCATAGAGTGTACAGGAAACCAATACACACCAACAGGTACCTGAATAAAAACTCTAACCAACAGCCATGACAAAAGAGAGAGGTAATTATTACGTTGGTTGTGAGGGCCCAACACATCTGTGAACCTGAGAATCTCCCTGAGGAATTCAATCACCTGAAAAATGTGTTCAAATAGAATGGGTACATCGAAATAGAATTCGAGAGGGCTATATGACTCAAGAAGGAGAATGCCAGGTAACCCCAGCTAGGCCCGTTAGGGGAAAAGTTTTCTTCTTCTATGTTAAAAAGATTACAGACCGGATTGGGACAATTTTAGAGAAAGACAACATGAACTAATATTCAGGCCTACAAAAAATATCAGCTTTTAGCAATACCCGGGGTATACTGGATCCCTTGTAGCTGCGGATCTATCTACATTGGAACCACGAAAATAAATATAGGTGCCCGTTTCTCTGAACACAAGAGAAATTTTCGCCTCGGACAAACCGACAAATCAGCTGTATTCGTACATAGTCTTAAATAAGGAAATCACATTATCTCATTCGAAGTCACACAAATACTCGAATAACCTCGATTACTAACCAAGAATATATAGAGAGGCAATAGAAATTCAGAAACAGGGATAATTTCAATAGAAAGGAAGAGGCAATGAACATTAGTAAAATCTGATTAACTGTCCTTAATTGTACACAAATAAGGTCATTCAATCCAATAAAGAGAAACAAAACCACACCTACTAATGATGATATAAAACCGGAGACAAATTCCAACATTCTGCTTTGAGAACAACTCGAGAACTATGACTGTTTGATACAATCTACCGCACTAGTAGACGAAATGCCAGGCATAAAAACCTATAGACCATTGCCCAAAAACCGCGAAAATAGTTTTGACATATTTTCGTAATGTAGGTACAGTGAAAACCCAGTTAACCGATCTTGGGTCAAACAAAATCACCATGCGTTTTGTGACTAATTAATCTTAGTGATTATAAGTATCCAGGGTCTTGACATTGGTGTTTATAGGAAGAGTACCAGTACTTTTAAATATATTCCTGATAGCTCAGACCAGTGTCCACAACCCGAAATGGCAGATTTGAACATTCTTGTTCATAGGCCGTTAGATTACCCTTGAGTAAAAAAAGATACGTTATTGAGAAAAATGGTATCAGGGACATATCTGAAAGCAATAGCAATTCTTTGAATATAGCAGATAAGTTACTAAAGAAAGGTAAATTCCGAGATAATATTTGAAATTATTCGACTTTTCAAAAAGACATGTATATGTATAATTAAAGATATACTAACAGGTTAGATCGAAGTTTTAAACAGGTGAACATAAATGTAGCCTACAAAACTTCCTGCCCACTTCAACATATGTTGGGTAACCCTGAAGACAAGATGTTAGAAACTGAAAAGTTGGGGATACACGAAATGAACTGTGGAGACTGTGACAAAAAATATATCAGTCAGACTAAGTGAGCCTTTATAACTCATCTCAAAGAACACGCACTATATTTAAGATACCAGAGAAATCTATTGTAGCATAACAAGCCTTGATGAACGGCCTAGATTGAATCAAAACTGTTTGAAATCATTGAGATCGGTAAATGACACTAGATTTTTTGTATACTTTCGGAAGTCTGGAAGTAGCAAAGTATGGCATGATAATTATGAACAGTAACAAAGGTCCCATTTCAAACAGTCCATTATTTGCCTTTTAATAAATTACTTTGTTAGAATTAGCGGAAACTCACGAGAAAATTTCCCGTTAATTCTTATCCGAAATCATCGATGGAAAGTGAAAGTGTAGCCTGTTAGATATAGATACCAATTTTAAAGCCGTTAAGGGTAAAGAAAGGTTAAGAATGATATGCCTGAATGACAATTAAAATATAAAAATCTACCTTTCCAAGAATTTATTGCTTTTTGGTTTGAGATTCAAAACCAAGAAACAATTATTTGGCCCTTTCACCCTTATGGCACGTTTAATGACTATATGCACCAGTTACTCAAACAATTTCTTGACCATGATTCTTTCAGGTACAAGCAGTAGACCTATTGGTTCCAGGAATTGGTGAAATAGTTGGTGGAAGTTTGCGTGAAACTGACTGTGAAAAAATCAGAGATTCTTTAACCCACAACAATTCTCAATTGGATTGGTATTTTGATTTAAGAAAATATGGAGGAGTTCCTACAGGTGGCTACGGTCTAGGTTTTGAAAGATATTTGTTATTTATTACTGGACTGAAAAATATAAAAGATGTAATCCCATTTCCTAGGTGGCCTCACAATTGTAATATGTAAATAAAAATATTATTTAGTGTCAATGAGTATATCAATCAATACAAAGTGCTGAAAGAAAATCGTTTTGCAAAAATCTAATCAAAATTGCGTCAAAGCTATTTTCCGGGTTTGTTCAAATCAGTCCGCAGGTTTTTAAAATTACTAAAGCAACGAACTTGAATGAAGCAACGAACAAAGTGTTCTGGTTGTCCTCAAGGCAGATTCTATAGAAATGTTTCAAGTCTTGCGATTGACTCGATGAGAAGTGGGCGAGATTTCGTTAATATTGGTTCTGATAGCAGAGCTCAACTAGCCAAATTTCATGTTATTTTCCATCTTCCTTCCTGTGGAAATTGTGTTTATGAATTTCTAACGCCTCTATATATAGGCTTGAATAGTGATTCTCAGGTGCCTCCAAACACAATAAAGTGGATACCTTCTTCTGGTGCATGTTCCGCTACTTCTGATTTGTCAATATGCCCTAGGCGACAATTTCTATTGTGTTCAGAGAGCCGGGTACGTACACTTCCTTTCGTGGAATGGTCTTGGCACTCTATCTTCTGGATCGCATTGCCGCCTGAAATTGACTTTGCATACCCGTTTCCTTTGAAAGCATTTTTCAAATGAAGTTCCTTCTCTCAAATTCATAGATGCCTCGGATCCTGCCAACTAAAGTTTTAATTGCCTTCCTCCTTTGCCATGGTTCGCTCGTGTTTGGAGTTCTTGTTTAATATGTGTGCGTTGGTTTTCTGTACGCGTTATGACTCAAATGTCCCTGTTCACTAGTATATCCAAGAATGGATGATACCTTGAGTTTCCCGTTTCATTGTGAATAGAATTTTTGGGTTGAGGAAGTTCAGATACAAAAGAAATTCGTTTGGTTGCTCTTCACAGTGTCGCCATACCATGAACGTATCTTCAACGTAAAGCAGCCAACAATATGGTTCCACCTCACAATAAAGCTTCAAAGAGCTTTCGCTCTGAAGCATATTGTTCGTATTTTTTCTAGTGTCTCCGGAACCTAACCTCATATCTCTCATCTTTTCGTATTACCGTCAAGACTTCATAGACGTGAATATCTACCACGTAGTAATGACTACATTCATCAATTTACCTCTTGAACGATTGGTTCTAGTCAAAATACCGGTAGTCGGAATCTCAATTCAGTTTTTTCTATACGTCCCTGGATCAAGTAAGGTTCAGATTTTCTCTTTGTATTCCCTGGTGTTCATCAGTGACGTTTCCTTTATCAGCAGGCAAGATTAGTGTACAGCTGCCGCACTGAGTCATGGCCGGTAAGAAACCCCTCCCTCAATATAATAAGTCTAGATTTATGTACGATTTCTCCCACCGGTCATGACTCAGTCCGGTAGCTCTATGTTTGTCGTCATTTAGATTCTTCAGCGCCTTTCTTTCCGTATTCTATTGGCTTTGCGCGCATCAACAATACAATAAGCTATAGAAGTAGCAGTATTGAGGCAAATTGCAATGGATACTTCGATTACCAAAAAAATTGGTCATAGTGACGGGCGAAAGTCGTATAAGTGCTGGAAGGATATTAAAAAAGTTCCATCCGTATAAGATTTGGATAGTGAAAGAAATAAATTAAAACGATTTTGATCCTTGCAGGAAATTTTTGCTAATTCATGAATAAACAAACTATGCAAATCAGCAATTTTCTATGTATGGTGTATTTTACAGATCAGGTACAGAATTGGTTCAAGAACTTAATATTCAATAATATCAAAACATCAAAATAAAATAGGTATTTTAGAATAAACTCATTGATTTTCTGGAGAGAAGTTTGTTCCAAAATACCTATTTTATTTTGATGTTTTGTGATTTGATATTATTGAATATTAAGTTCTTGTTACAGTACTGTATAATTTTGAGTAATTTTTGGTGTTAACAAAAAATAAAAATAACTTTGCACCAAAAACTTTGAAAATTATTATATAGGTATACTCTTCAAAAAAATTGACCGTGGTTAACACCATAGTTGTGTAATTCGTAATATTACAGGCTTTTAAAATGAAACGTCGTATACAGGATGCTGTCTATTTATCGTTTTAGCAAATTTTTCTTTTCGTAGTCCCCATTTAAAAAAAATAGGTAAAAAAAATTAAACTTCACTTCACTTAGATGGCCACGACTTCAAATCTAGATGTATTTTTTAATACTGAACAACTTTTCTAAATAACATTTCCCGAGATTTTTCAAAATAAGAGTACATTACTATTGTCTCAAAATCAAATATTTGAAGGCTCCTCGTATATTACGTGTGTTTTACTGTATTTGGTTGGTGCATGTTTAGTTTTGGGGATGCACAAACTTTTATCAGGAATAACTTTTTGTCGAAAAACCCTTAATAAATAAGTTTCTCATATGGTGCATACTTTGGGGATGACACTGTATAACAGATCAAAAAATATTTCTAGAAAATATGTCTAGTGCGGCACTGTTTTACCTTTAAACATACAGTTCACATATCAAAAATAGTTCCTTGTTTCTGCTTGTTTTTGAAAGTTCCGTAAGTTAGGAAAAACCAAATTTCTGTGCACCCCCCTACACTGAACCAAATACTAAAACCGTCATTATACACTATTGCAAACAAAAATACAAATATTAGGTATTATCCCTAAGAATAGTCCGCTAAATTACCTGATTACGCGCCCTTAGATTTTTGTGGGCATTCGTGAAATCTTAAGTATACATTGAATAACTAGTCTATTCCGGAGATCATGGATAGAATAAGAGGTGCTGCTCGTAACCTCAGAAACATTCAATGTTAAAAATACTTCTTTAAACTTTCTAAATGAAGAACATTTTGAATATTTATCGGGATGAAGTGAATAGTTTTCATTACTTTTTTCTGAAGTTATGGCTAACCCGATTTCCAACGAGAAAATATCAATTGGATAATGAATTGAAATACCTATTAAATGAGATATTGAAAATTTTTCAATTTATTTGAGAAAAAAGACTGATAGCGCCCTTTTAGTGTTAAATGATGCAAAACTTTCTAACAAAAGAATACTATAAACGATACCAAATAAGAACATAAGCTTTTGCGACCGGAGTCATGGTTAGATGTAACAGAATCTGGACTGGTAAGCCAGTCAAATTAAACTTGTAGTACCAAATGTTTAGTCTGCTATTGCGGCAAACATCATCGGTGACTCTTTTCAGCTTATTACTATATGATGTCATCAAGTGATTAAAGGCCAAGTTTTTCTCTACAAATTCAAACTGAACCAAAAAGCGCTGCAATAAGACCGAAAAATCAACCAGGCATTTGGCAATGATAGTGTTAATGAACGCTCTGTTCTACGCTGATTTTCGAAATTACGTCCAGATTTTAGGCTCGAAGGTGAGCCTCGACTCACATCCAGGACAAGGATTTGGGGATCATGGTGGAAACTAACCCATCACAAACGAATTGAGCGTCGACTTTCTGCATCACCCACCATACACCCCTGACCTCTCGCCAACAGAGTATAATTTTTTCAATCACTTCAATAAATTTCTCACCGGTAGAACCTTCACCAATCATGATCCGGCAAAAACGCCCTTCATCGAATCTCGATGAAATTATAGCTTATAGAAATCATAGAAATATTAGCTCTTTTTGAAAGCATATTATCAAAAATAATACTATGGGTAAAACACACAAACCAAATTGAAATTTATGATTGGAAACTTGGCAAGGTACCAACTGTGTTATGATGGGCGCAAAAAGTTTTGTTTTGCCAATAGGATGTCGTTGGAAAAAAACAGATATTGTTTCTATTCAATTCCTCAAATATTATTATTCCTAATGTATATGACACCCTCATACACCAAAATCCTTTCTTTACCGTTGAACTCTGGTGGAAATGTGTCGCGAATGACAGGAGTTTCAAAATCATCGATATATAAATTCAAGAATGAGATAAAAAATGAAACTGTGGAATCAACAAAAACCATCTTTATGTATAAAAACTGTGCCTACAATCTACCAGATTAAAGTCACTTTCTGGAAAAGGAAAGTGACTGATTATAACCCAAATCGTAAGTGTTGATTGTTTTGTCGAGGGTGGTTTATTGATGTTTGAGTCAAAGCATTCTGGCGATTCCATGAAAACATGAATGGCCATGTGTTTGAAGCTAATCTAAATCTGTGATTGTGATGGATAATGCAAGTTATCATTCCAAAAAAGTTTCAAGAATACAAACTATTGTTTAGTGAAAAGCAGGATATAAATGAGTGGCTTCGACAAAAAAAAAAACTCCATTCATTGGAAGTATGGTTAAAAAAGAACTATTGTTCCAATATGGCACAGAAATGAAATAATATTGTTCTGCATCTGCCCTCTTATTATTGCAAGCTTAATCCCATTGGGCTCAAGTAAAGGGTTTCAATACAAGAAGAAACACGACATTCAAAATAAAAAATGTCAAAATACTCCTCAAGGAGTCCTTAAAAAAATGTTGATTCCAAAAAACGCAAAAATATTTCAAACATGTTATAAAAGAAGAAAACAACCTGTAATAATAAAACCATTTAGTTGAGGAAATTTTAGAACCTTCAATCATAACATTCAACGAAGATTCATTGGATTTATCTGATGATAACGCACCGTAATTTTTTCTTATACCTATTTATTATGTAAATATTTCAAATTCAAGTGCTATAACAATATAAATCATACATAAATAAAAAACATAGTTTCAACAAGTATTTTTGATTAAATACCCAAATGCACGCCACTGCAGGTATAAAACGACTTCAAGGTTCATAAAATCTTTTGTTTATGACCTATTTGGGATACAAAGATAGAGTGGATCTTGTTTAGGTATAAAAGAGCCGTCTGTATCAGCTGTGACATATCATAAACGAAATCACAAAATTTTGTTTGTTCACTCTATTAGCATTTTGCATTTATAATGATCATTTTTCACTCTCTACTATTAGAAAACAGTATAATATGTAATATTTGGAAAAGAACACATTTCTCTAGAAGTACCTAATATTTGGGATAGAACCAACATATTTCTCTAGAAATGGCATTCAAAACAATTTCAAAACATTGATCTGGATATACCTTAAACCACTTGACCTTGGAGAATAAGTTAACATTACAATATTATGGGAACAGCATCTTTGAGAAACCCATAATAAATTAACTGAAGAACAATCTTTCGGATTTTATTTCATATAGCAAGTGAACATAAGAATGATGATAGATTTGTTATTCAACGTTCAGTTTATGAAAAAAGTGGTCAATAAATTTAATTTGTCACAGTTATACACGTCATAAGAAACTTTTATTACTACCCCAAAAAGTATTAAAATTGAAATAAATAATAAGTAACACTCAATTTTACTGTCGCATCTTAAAATCAATCGAATAATTTTACAAAATTGTTTTTATTTCGAGTTCCATATTTCCTCCACTGGCATTGTCTATTCACCAGCGTCTAAAACATCCTCACTAAAAGTGACTTTTTTTTTCTTTTTTTCAGGGCAGTTACTCAAATCGGGGCTGTCAGCACGTTTGCGTTTGCAACCTGCTGATTTTTCACTTTCTTCATCAGTATCTTTTATATTATTTTCTGATAATTCTTTTTCCTCAGAATCTTCCTGACTCGACTTGGAAGGATCAGTTTCTAACCCAGTTAGAATTAAATCAATGTTTTTTCTGTCCTCATCATTGATTTCAATTTCTTTATCACTGTTTTCATTTTTGTCATCATTATCTTTTTCATCATCATTTTTAATGACATCACTTCTATCTTTGTTTGTTGTTTCTTCCTCTCCAGCTTCTTCATTTCCAGATTTTTCCCCTGTTTCTATTTCTTTTTCATCTCTTCCTTCTTTCTTACTGGACAATTCTTCATCACCCATTATTTTTTCTGGGACACTGTCTGCCTTTGGCTTATGATCGGTGTCTTCCTGGTCTTGGTCAGATTTTCTATTGCAACTTTCCTCTTCATTTTCTGGTGCTCCAGATGTTGGCGATTCATCATCAGAAGCTTGGTACCTTTTCTCTTCGTTATTATGGCATGTTGATTTCATTTTGGTTGTTATATTTTCCACTGACGGTTCTTCTCTGACTTCAGGATCTTCACTTGACTCTTCTCCATCCAAATTCACTTTTTCAACATTATGGTTGGCAGGTTCATGGCTTTCTTGTTCACTTATATTTGAAGGACTGTTTGGTACTGTGTTTTTGCTATTTTCATTCTCTTCAGTACTCTCACGATCCCCCTCTTCACTATCAGAAATGGAGGATTTTTCTTTACTTTCCAATACTTTTTCCCTATTCTCCTGATCTTCTGTTATCATGGGTGAAATTTGTTCTTCAGTCGGATTACCAATTTTTGATTCATCTGGAGTATCGACTTCCATTCTCAAACTGTCTGTAATTGTTTGGCTTCGCTCTTCAGACTCGATAACTTCTATGCTAACATCTTTACCGTTTTCTATATGTTTTTCACTTTTTGGATCGATAGTTCCAAGTGGTATGGCCCCTCTTTCCAAGTTAATCACTAAACTTTTCCTGAAGTCAGTTGCCATTGCAATATGTTTTTTGTCATCATGATGTTCCGTAACTATTTTCTTTGATTTTGAAGTTGGTTTTTTCAATTTAATTTTGAAATATGCTGACTTTTTCACATGTGACCTATCAGTATCATTTTTAGAATAAGTTAAACCTTCAAGTGCTTCCTTATTTTCATTTGAATCAGATACCTCAACCTTTTCACAAGAACTTCTATCTGATAGATCATCAGAATTTTTCCTTTTCAACGAAGATTTTTTAGAAACAATTTGTGCCAACCTTTCCAGGTCCTTTTCTACTTGATCATCCGTACTTGGCAGAATTTGTTTATCAAATGATAAGTTATTTTTGGTCACTTTGACGTAAAGAATTTGGTTCAATAGTTTTGGGTCTTCACTAACCATTTTTGATCTTCTTAGTGATTTGTTATGCCTCAGTGCTTTGAATGACTTGATTGATGATAAATCCAAACTTTTTACATCTTTTGGGGACTCTTCAGTGTCTGAAATATATACGACTTCAGTGGAACATATCCTATGCCTTAGTGAACGATCTTTTTGGGTTTTGAAAGGTGTTGAATGCGAGATGATTTCTGATCCAAACTTCAGTTTCAATTTTGGTACAATTCTGAGTTGAGGCTGAAAATAATGAAGTAATAAGTAATAATACAAACACTACTTGCACATATTACTGCAATGTAAATGCCATAAAAAGGTAAACAATGGGCTGTTTGGAATGGGACCTTTTGTCACTGTTCATAGTTCTCATGCTTAATTTTGCTATTTCCAGACTTTTGAAAGCAGCCAAAAGTCAAGTGTCATGTACCGATCTCAACAATTTCAGACAGTTTTCATTCACTCTATGGTCGTTCATTTCTGGTCTCTAAAATAATATGTGCTGCCTTTTGTTCTTTGAACAAAAGGCAGCTTATTTCATATATTTTTCATTTTCTAACATCTTTTCTTTAGAGTTACCTAACATTTGTTGAAGTGTGCAAGAAGTTTCACTACTTTTAAACTAAACTTTTCAAAAATATGATCTAATCCGTCAGCGTATCTTGGTTCATATGGAAGGCCATTAAAATTCTAATCCATGTCTTTTTGAAAAATCAATTTACAAAGATTCTACCTGAATTTACATTTCCTAATTAACTTATCTTCCATATCTAAAGAATACCCATTGCTTTTAGCTATTTCCCTAATAACATTTTACTCAATATCGATAAAAAGTATGTTGGTCAAACTATGCTACAAGAAATATGTTTCACATATTCGGTTTCATAGACATGAAGTCCAGTGTAGCCCAACGTGCCACAGAGAACGGCCAAAGAAGTTTATAAATCGTAAAATGGGAATGAATTCTATGAACTATGACAAATACTCTATTCCTAACAGACCTCTGTTAATTTGATGACCCCCTCTTTATATAAAATGATGATTAGTATAGTCATAAGAAGTAGTATCCTCAATCATCTCCTGACAATGGTAATTTGGTTAGCGAAACGCATGTTGAGAGACAGTATTTTTGTTCTAGTGAGGGAAAAGTTTTTTCAATACAGACTTATTTTGATTAAAAATAATTAACAAATATGTATGTGAACATTATTAATGTACCTACACATAAAAAACACATCATGAAGTACATCTTAACAACTTATGTTGACACCTCATAACTTCAATCTACTACTGCAAACTCAAAATATATCATGGAGACTATTATTCGAAAATTATTATAATTGTCAACCACATCAATTTCAATATAATTTCATTTTAGTATCATTTGCAAACCCTGATTGAAAATATATGTCTTGCTTCAATGTTTCAATTGAAAGATGCCAGAAATGGTTTCACCTACTTTTCAAAGAGATCGGAGTTTTACAAGACATGAAAATTCAAGAACTATTGTTTTGTAAATTAATATTCATTGCAATCCCAGAGCTTTGAATAATGTTTTAATTTCGAGTAGCATTATCTGTAAAAAAGTAAAAATATATTACTGATGCTAACAATAAGTCATAACTCCACAAAGTTGGGGTTGGTCAAATTCTATTATTGTCCTGAAACAACAAAATAAAATGTTGATTCTTACATTACTTTCCTTTGTATTCCTTATTTACCTTCAATCAAAAACTAATTAGTCTAATAAAAATATTTTGATGGGTGAATTTGTAAACAGGCTTCATTATTGTCAGGAAGCAAATGGTGAACATTTATTAGGATAAAGAAGTGAGTATTCAATAATTTTGTTTATTGAAATTCATTTGCAGATTTTCAAAAAGAATATAAAACTGTTTTGTACTATTATTTTTCTTATTGAAAAGTACTAAAATTAATGTATTTTTATGTAGTTTTGTTTGACGTTTATATCTTGTTCCATTCAAAAGATTGGAGGGATGAGACTTTTTGCCTACCCATAATCCAATATGTTACATGTGAAACATTGTAACTGCCAATAGTTAGAACTTTTCTTTACGTTATAGACCTGTGTAATTACAGGTTTTATGAAATTTGTAAGGACTACTTGGATTTTTTTTCAGTCAATACCTATCCACATTCTGATTGCCATTACTTTCCATATTCAAATTTTTACACTATATTATTAATGGACATCAACAAAATATTGTAGAATACTTACATATTTTAAAAATAATCTTTTTTTTAGATTGTATCGACTATCCAAATAGAAGCAACACTGTGAGCATACATTATATTTATTTTTGTCAGATAGGACAGGAAAATCATCAGATATAACTTTGAAATAACTCCATTTTGTAATTTTGAATATAAATTCGCCTTTTTTACACAAGGTGCAATTCTCATCATTCTCATTTTGATTTGATTGTATATGTTTGAGAATTTCTTCCAATAAAATCAGTTTATGGTGACAGACCGGGCAAAATTTCAGTGAAGGAGTGATACTCTGGAGCTGAAATACAAAATGTTGGTATAATTTTAGAGGAATAAATTAAAAGTGTAATGATAGACTTACTTCCTGAATATTTAATACTGTTTCTGTGTAGAGATTCTGGAATATTTTCTGAATTCTTTCAGAAGAACGATTCAAAATCAGTTTTTTATCATTACACAAAAAACACAATCCTTTCACCAATTCCATTTTACCATTTGTATTCCTATTTTGGAAGTAACAATTGAGATATTCAATAAATCTATACAGAACGCGGGAGTTTTAGCTTTCTAACTACACCACCATTTTGTTTTGAGAATGAAAATAAAACCCGAGAATACCTACCACAGAGAAGCGACATTAACGTCGGATCCTTTGATGTTTGGTGTCCCAACTCCGAACCGAAGATTTTGAGTGATAGACAACCTGGTTCACCGAGAAAAATGACCTCTCAGCGATATACACTAATAAAAATACATACTCTTAAGTTCTAGTATAGTACGTGGGCTCACTGTGAAATATAAAATTTTAGTGTGAAGGGCATCTTACTCCATTCAATTTATTGCCAATTGAACAACTTTCGCAGTAATAATAGAGAATATTCAACTATGTGACCAATTTATTATTATTTATGATGAATTGGCTTTTAAGAAATAAATTAAATTACTTCATTTTGTAAATCCAATTCATTAGATAGAAAATTAAAATAAAGTTACGATAATAGAATAATGCTTATATTGTATAATCATTTTATATCCTCTGAAATAAATAAGTCCACTAAGGATGAAATTAATAGAAGTGACTTTTGTTATTTTATATAATCTTAACTTAAACTTTCATTAACAACATCAATACAATCTGAGGGTTCTAATTAAGTAAGGTTTCAAATGAAAAAATAATGAAACAAGATATTTTACCAAAACCTCTTAATTTAAAAACCTGACAGAATCTTAAGTTTTCTTTTTACAGTTTTACCTTTGGTATTATTAATATCTCTATTAGTATATTTGATACTATAAAAAATTTTCATTCTTATGAATAGCCTAATTATGTATATTTTTGAAAAATTTTCACAGAGATGAAGAAAATCTACATCCTTCATTAGGTTGAATAATATATTCGAAACTGCTCCCCCAGTATAAATTTCTGTAAATCGATTGTTAAATAAACATTCCATCTGATATATAAAATTAATGAATTAATCTGCTGGTGAGTGTAAATTTCCAAACATGTTTTTTTCCGTAGTATAAGCTTGAAAATAGCTTAACAGACGATTTACATCCAAAGTCCTGCACTTTGTGCTGAAAGAGTGACACACATAACATGTATGAACTTGAAGAGCTTTTTTTTAAATGTATCCACAAACGTAAATAATGAATTCTGAGTACATACATCTTCATTTTTATAATTTTAATCCGGAAGGGCAAGGGCTGGAGAAAAGTGATTCTCATCTAATATAAATATATCATTTACGTTTGTGGATTGTATACTGATTAATAAATCATCTAAATCATTCTTACAATTCATATGATTGGAATGAAAATATTTTTGGCAAAACAACTTCCGGAATGCCCTTTGTTATTGTATGGGGGTCGGATTAACATTATTTCTGCATTGTTGTCTTACAGCACTAAAAAAAATGTTCAAGACAATCTGAATTAAGTCGTCTCGTTTTTAATTACACTATTAATGGAAATAATCCAGCATTTTCTAAATTTGACTCGATTTGTGACATTTTTGTCCTCTGAATTGAAAATTTCAAGATTTTTCAAAAACGTTAGAGCCTCTTCAAAAAAATCTAATTGGAATTTCGCAGCTTCAAAAACGTTTTTGTATTTATAGGGATGTCGTAAAGAACAGGAATTCAACAAATCAAAAAGATTATTGAATGTCTCTATTACTTGAATTGTACCAAAAGAAGAAGCAGGAAGTAAGTTCATTGCCAAGAATGCATTCATTTCACTGGCAACTGTACGGCTTAGAACTTGTGTTGCTAGACTCACTTTCATTTTTTCAAAATTGTTTGGAGTGATATGTGATTTGGTAAGATTTGGTGCAAATCTATAAAATTGCCCTATGTCTTGCTCATAAAAAGAGCGCACAAAAAACCAAGATGTACTTTCACCTTCATAATGAAATGAATGTTTCAAAAAATTGTTTCTGGTGGCTTTTATCAAATGACTTGGATCAAAAATATAAACAAGTTTTTTACCACCGAGCTCAAATTTAGATTCTTCTAAAGTGACCCCGAATAACTTTGACAATTCATAAAAGTTAGAGCCTATGTCACTCACGACCTATATTGAATAATTTAGAAATGCACTTATCCAAAATATCACGTAGATTTTTTGCTGGTAGCTGTGATTCAATGAAAAAAAAAGCAATCGGTTGCTTCCAGGGACAATAAAGTCCTCTAGCCATAATAACGAGAACATTTCTACATATGAAATTCCTCTTATTTGCCTCTCCAATATCTTCGAGACCAATAATTTCATTACATCCTGTATCAAAAAAAGATTGGATTTTAAAGCCATCTCATCTATAGATATCACATATCGCTTATCCTGTTCGAGCATTGTTTTAATTTTAATTTCAAGTGCCTTGAATATTGCTGAATTTTGCAAGCCCGGCCTACATGATATTTTTTGGGTCATCCTTTGCAAACATCGTTTTGTTGGAAGAGTCAATAACTTGCTAAGATGTCTATAATTCCTAGAACTTGAAAAGTAGTTGATCAAAGCAAACTGCTTCACTTCTGAAGAACATCTGTGAGATATAGGTTTCTTGTTCTTTTGTACAACATGCGATTTTATCACTTCCGATAAAGGATTCTCAAGAAACGCATCACACCCTTTTAAAAACGTATTCACTGATAAACCGGTTGTCGCCTTAGATTCCTTTTTGATTTTCTCCCACCGTAAAATTTTCAATTTACTTCGCAATCTTCGTTTTCGTGGAGTATTGCTGCTTAATTTCAACTCAGTTTGAGTGAAAGTAGATGGCGAAAGTAGAGGTGGTGAAATTCTTTCTTCGCATTCCACATTTACACTGCAGGTTGAAACATTCTGCAANGTGGAATGGATGAGAAAGTTGTTCATCCGTTAACGGGGGACATGAGGGCCTCATTCGACAGAGTGTCGGGGCCTTCTATATCGGGAGGGGTCGTCTACAGCATAATCTGTGGCTTCCCTAACTGACGGATTTTCATGAGTTTCCGTACTTTCAAAAGCTCTCTGATTCCTCGACTGGATGGACTGCCGAATGGAAGGCAGCTGCAAATCTCTGCGGATGGCTTCGTTCCGCACGAACCAAGGAGCATTCACAATCATCCTAATTAACTTATTTTGTAGCCTTTCCAAAATGGAAATTGTGGACGGAGCCGCTTGTCCCCAGACGCCTGAAGCATACATGATGACAGGCTTGAACATCGTGTTATAGATGGTGATTTTATTCTTCTTGCTCAGTTTAGATTTCCTATTGACCAGAGGGTACAGACTAGCTATCCGACCCTCGATCTTAGACTTAACGCACATGATGTGCGGGTTCCAAGTGAGCCCTTCCGGAGATTCCCACTTTTCTGGCCGGAGAAGATAGTAATCTTCCCATGGTTATCGCCTGAGTCTTTTCCGGGTTTACTCGGATCTTCCAGTCAAGGTACCAGCGCTCGAAGTCGTCCAATGCACGTTGCATGTAGACGACGCCGAGCTCTCGACCCATGGAAGATGAGAGAAGAGCCGTGTCGTCGGCGTACAGGGATATCTTCACTCGCTTGGACCTGAGCAGGTCGCTGGTGTAGAGTGAATACAGCGTCGACTAATTATCTCCTGAAAACTCTTGCTTAAATAGCATAATTTTAATGTATACAGAGCTAGGTAGGTACCTTTTATAACTAACTACCTATCTCATTATGTTTGCTCAGTGCTCACAGACTAATGGAGACAACTAAGCTCGAGAATGACGTGGACAACCAAGTCGACGCATGCGTCTACGAAAAAGGGACACAAAATGGCCGTCTTTGTCGCTTCTCTGTGGTAGGTATTCTCGGATTCAGGCTATGAAAGTGAAATATCGAGTGGTAACCCTGCAAAAACGATGAGGCGGATGAGGTTATAAAATGACAGATAGGTTACAACATTGGATGTAAAATGGTCAAACATATTTGAATTGAAACAGTTCTAGAGGATGTTAGACATAATAACAATATATTAGAAAATATTTAAAACTTTTCGTTTATTGTATCTATCACGAAGTGTTGAAAATGGATTTCCAAAATAGACCCGGAGGTAAAACCGGAGGAGGTGGCGTGGCCTCTTGGTCAGAAACAAATCGGGACCGAAGAGAAAGGCTGAGACAGCTAGCTTTGGAGACCATCGACTTGCAAAAGGATCCTTATTTTATGAAAAATCACTTGGGATCTTATGAATGTAAACTTTGTTTAACACTACATAACAACGAGGGAAGCTATTTGGCCCATACTCAGGGCAAAAAACATCAAGCCAATTTGGCAAGACGAGCAGCCAAAGAAGCTAAAGATTCGCCGTCTCTTTTACAACCTGAAAAACCAAGAGTTGAACCCAAGAAATTTGTGAAGATTGGAAGACCTGGTTATCGGGTTACAAAACAGAGAGACCCTGAAAATGGACAACAGAGCTTGTTGTTTCAAATTGACTATCCAGGTAAGATGAACTATATTTTGCTTATTTGGGTATTTATTTTAATAGAATTAAATTCAGTCATGATCTGTTGAATTGTTAGAAGTGTTAATTACTGTATTCTTAACGACTCATATCCTTGAATGTATTGAAACTATTGGTCACTGTTTAATTAGGACATTGAAGTTGGACAAATGGTAAGTGTTCACTTTAATGATTCAATATAGTTTTTGACAAAAATAAAATAAAAACAACAATAAAAATTAATTGGCGCTCCGGGGTGACTTCATTGATTCCAGTAGCGCAGTTGCTTTTTCCGCTGCAGGAAAACCCGGAAAAACCTGCAGCACCACATCATCTGAAGATCTTGATCTAACAATGTCCTCTCTCTTATAAAACAAATTGTAGGGTGTCTAAAGAGGCTCCAATAAATTCATTGCATCGCCAGAACACTTCGTGACACAACTATCGTCAAACTTAAATCAGTCCGTTTCGTCTTTGACCAAGGCGTAATAATGACCAAATTCAACGCCAGAACCACAGTGAACAATGACTGCATGAATATTATAATAGTGGTCTGCTAGGTTGAAATGTTCATCTATTTCGAACCTTCCAAAGAGTTTCTTGCTTCCGTTAGAGGTTGAGTCTTGTTTGAATATCATCAGTGTTATTATTAGATTGACTGGTGCCTCAGCTATACTTGTTTTCTTATAACAGTCAGTTAGTTTGGCACATGTTTGACAATACAGTCGATCATCACCTGTTAAAAATTCCATTTTCAGATGATTTAACAATAAGCTTTGCACGGACTGGTTATTCGTCATATTAGGAAAAGCTAGATGAAATTCCAGAAATTCACATAAGTTTTCGGTACTTTTGAACATTTACCATAAAGTAAACAAGTGAGGATTTTTCCAGCAAAAGATTTACAAACACAAGACGAGATGGGCTGTACGGAATCATGATTTTGCTATTGTTTTGCTCACGAAGAGTATTCAACAAGAACCCCAAGAATTCGGAACAATCCTCTTGTTGTCCTAACGAGTATCTAGTGGACTTCAAAAGACTCCAGGAAATCGGTTGGAGGGAAAGATGATACCTTCTTAAGGCAAATTTTTTATTAGACTTGCTAATTTTTGTCAGCTCACCATGAATCTGAATTCTAAACTTGGGTTTTGAAGATGAGGCGACTCAAACGCCAAAAAAATCTTAATTCCGGAACTGGTTTTTGGTAATAAAAACTCTATGCATGATGACCTATTGCTGAGTTTTATTCATCTGTTTCAAAGGTTTTCATCGAACATAAAGCTTCTATTCATAAAAATGATCCGTTCTATGAAATTATATCACATAAAAAAATTAAGATGTAGTAAGTATATACACCTTGTAACTTGTAGAATGGAATTTATTATTTATTTCATCTAGTTTCAATGTTGTTAATATTCTGATTCAAGGTTAAATTGATAAATATCTAGCTCTAAAGTGAACAGACCTACTGCTGTTCAAATTCTGTAATGAGAAAACTTAACAAAATGACCATAAGATCTTTTTTGCACAAGAAAATGTTGTGCTAGTGTGGATTCACCCCCAAAGGAGAATACCATAACATATCCTTGAAGCCACATGAGTGGTAATTGCTCACATGAAAGTACTTTTTAGAGGCATTAAACAAAGAGCATTACAGGAAAATCCTTAAGGCGATCTAAGAGCAGTGCCTGTGTGAAAGTAGTGATTCACATTGGATTGGAATCGCTGGAGATTGAATCCATTTAGAAAAACGTCTCAGGAAGGTTATTCCATGTAAACACCGTTCTCCAAATGAAAGATTTCTTGAGCAGTGAAGTTCGAGGTGTACTGAGTTGAACCTCAAAATGATGAGCAGCCACAATCCGTCACGTATTTCTAATATGTATCCCTCTTGGTTGAATCAAATGTGCTAAGTCACTTAAATACCTCCCGTGAAAGTATCTATACAAGAGAGACAAATCTCCAACCTTTCTTCGATGTTCCAGACTGTCAAGTTTGCAAGTGATGTTATCTCCAATCAGGCGGATGTCTCTTTTAACTTTGTAACCAGATTATTTTGAAGTTATACATTCATCTTGGTGTCTCGAAATGCTGGTTTATCAGTGCAACTCAATTTTTTGTTGCCAATTTTATTTAAAACGCCTTTTGCTACACGGTAGCTTCATCAGCTACTGGTTAAGCTACCGCAAAGTACTAGGGAATATGTTTTTTATTTCATTTTCCAATAATTTTTTTAATCAATGGTTTTCATTTGTAATTTATTCTTCGGTTTGATTGTTAGGTAGTGCTCTGTTTACTCCACAAACTAACTTCAAATGTAAAATGTTTCATGAAATATTTACTAAGATATTGTTTTTCTTTTTCAGAAATCAATGATATGGTTTTGCCTCGTCATCGATTTATGTCTGCTTATGAACAAAAAATTGAACCTCCAGATCGTAAGTGGCAATATTTACTGTTTGCAGCTGAACCATATGAAACCATAGCCTTCAAAGTACCAAGTCGAGAAGTTGAAAAAACCGACACAAAATTTTGGACACACTGGAATAAGGACACCAAACAATTTTTCTTGCAATTTGCTTTCAAGAATGAAAACAAGAGAACTGCTAATACCATTGTTCAACGACATACCATAATGGGTGCTGTTCCTCCTCCTCCAATGTTACCGGTACCTCCACCTCCTAGGCCACCGATGTTTAATCCTATTCCTCCACCACCACCAATAATGAGGGCTGTTTTGCCAGTACCGCCACCTCATCACCACCATCCTCATCATCATTAGTGTTTAAAACTTATGAAACTCTGCTTTTCAAGTGAGCTCAAAACTTTGAGGACTGGGGTCTGGTGATCGGACTGGATATAAGGCTTTCAGAAAATTACAAACAGAGCATGCAAAATGGGTATGTTTATCATTTTGTTGGAAGCAGGTGTTTCTGTTAGGGACATCAGCTTTGTTATCGGAAAATAAAACAGTCAAATTTTAAAATGGTTCTTTCGAAGATTTCCAATATCCCGATCTATTCAAGTTGTTTTCAAAGATATTGATCCTATAACTCAATCGCTACAACCCAAACATTGACGTTTTAGGACCATTGACGATTTTCTTGCTTCATTCAGTAAGAATTATCTCTGGTAACGACATTTTGTAACAATTTTTTTTGTTTACCACTCCGATTGAAGTAAATGTTGATTAATCAGAATCTGCCTATTGATTGGCAGAATATGCCATTGGATTACAATGATATGCGGTACAAAAATTTAAAAGATTTATTTCTAACAGTTGTAGAACAACTAGTTCATTAATCTACTTGCCCAATCCAAAATAAGCACTTCTCCCAAGAGGATGAGGAAAGATTTCTTCATCTCCTGAAGATGCCAACTTGATTGATGAAAAGCGATTCAAGAAGATAATTGCAGTTCTGATGATCGGAAAAAGTGCCTGTTCTGGATTTATTCTATGCCAGAGCATTGAGTTTTATTTTTTTCTACTTGGCCAACTGAAAGTAGTCGATTATTGATTATGTTTTGAGTTCATAGAAATAGATTTATTTGAAATAGATATCCTTAAATACATAAATTCTATACAAATATATCAGTTACTAATAAACAAAATACCATAAACTGAAATATATAAGACTTATATTGTAGAATATCATGTGTAAAAAAAGCAATAGAAAATGAAGAACAGATTAATAGAGAGAAGAATGATGAACAACTCATTATCACTTTGTTTAATTTCATTGGAAAGCTTGTTATAGTCCAAGAGTCCTCTGTGAAATATAGAATTCATTGTTAGTTCTTGTGACAACCAAGTCATCTCTTCCTCTTGTATCGCATTTGTGTATCTGATGGTTATATGTAATGAACTCATTGAAGTAATGTGGTGCTTTTCCAGTGAGTATTTTAAATATGAACATCAGAAAAATATTGTAATCTATCTTTTACTGTCATCCAATTCAGAATAATAATCATTGATAACATAGGAGTATATTCATGGCATTTTATTACCAAGTGCATTCCTCTGTTTTGTAATTTTTGTAGAGTAGAGATAGAATTACCGTCTAGTAATGATATCAGAGTAGTACAGTAATCAAAGTGTGGTAGGATTATTGTTTTACAAACAGTCAAATTAGATTGGAATGTTAGTTGTCTACTAATTCTAGTAAAGAAAAACCTTTTTTTAGAAATTTAATTGCACATATACTGGAAGTGTTTTTTTAAGTTCAAAGTGTTATCAACGATGAAGCCCAGGTATTTGAATTCTTCCACATTTCAATAGTTTCGCCGTAGATCTAAATATTAATGGAGTTGATATCAATTAAGTTATATTTATATTGTGTTGTCAATATCATAGCTTTCGTTTAAGTGGTGTTCAGTTTGAGTTTGTTTATGTTCAAGAACTCGCCACGTTTTCAAGAGTCAAATTAATTTTGCATACAGCATTATGAATATCAGATTCGCTTGCTGCAATGAGAGTATCACCTGCAAAGAGGTTTATGAATTCACAGTCACTAATAAAATTTCTGTCATTCAAATAAAGTATGAATAAAATAGGGCCAAGTACACTCCCCTGGGGGACCCCGGTATCAATTGCTTTTTGGTTTGATAGGACGTTGTTAATTTTAGTACATTGAGATATGATGAGTAAATAACTTCTGAACCATAGCAACACCCTACCAGTTATTCCATAATACTCTAATTTTAATAGCAAAATAGATATATCTATAGTTTCAAATTGTTATCAATTGACGGTTTCCATTTAGACAAGGTGAGTTGAAGAGCAGTTTCATATGAGTGTTGCGATCTAAACCCTGATTTATACTCCATCAAATGCTTGTTGTCTTCAATATATGTGCATATTTGATTATAAGCGGCTAACTCTAACACTTTTCTAAAAAAGGCAGAGATTATTTATGGGACGAAAGTTGAAGGCTTCATTTGCGTTGTTAACTTTAGGTACAGGGGCAATTGTACTAATTTTGAGTTGATCTGGAAAGTGCCCATTTATCAAATAAGTATTGACAAAATCAAGAAGTACGTGACCTAGTACCGAGAAGATACTCTTGAGAACCTTGTTATTCAATATGTTAGTGTTACACTTGTTATCCAAACAGGAAATAATTGACCAATTCCTTCAGTGAGAAAACGTTTAAAATCGGACAATTTGCATCCAATCACTTCAAGATTTTCACATGATCATTGTGCAGAAGCCGGAATTGTTGCTTTAATATCCAGAATACTTTCAATAAAAAATGTATTAAAGCTTTCAGCTTTGTCTTAGTCTAACATCACTCTCTGTGTGTAAAATACAAATACATCAGGAAGTGGACTATTATTGGGTTTGGTAAGTGTTTTCAAAGATTTCCACATTTTTTTTTTAAATTATGCGAACAATCATCAATCTTCCATTTGTAGTAGTCAGCTTTTTTCATTTTCAACAAATTGACCACTTCTTTTCTATAACTTTTGTAAATAGCCCAATCGAGCTGTTGATCATTCACAGTTCTACAATTTTTAAATTTTTTGTAAGCTTCATCCCTATACCTTGCTGCAATAAAAACTTCATGATCATACCAAGGCAATTGGCTTTTATATTGTTTGTGTGATTTTAATGGACTAATAATATTGACTTGTTCACTTATGTTCTTAACAAGGTTAGCATATTATTGTATCGGTATCATTCAAATTCTAGTTCATCTGAAAATATGTGTTCACTTTATGAGTTTCCAAAAACTGTATACAGTCCAGTTTTATTAATATCTGCATAATTTCCTTTTAGGAAATATTTCGGAAATTTCAGTTAGAACAATTTTAAACATCTTAATGAAAAATTTGCAGAATGTTATTGGATAGATATCGATGAAATTCATTTTAGTCTCATTATTAACATCAAACCCGAAACAAGCACTTTTCCCAATCTCTAGAATGATTGGAAAAAAAACTCTTTTTGTATTGTTTCCCTTTCAAACTCTTTTAAACCTCATAAAAATCAGTTACATAGTTTATAACCAAATGATTTAGGTACAACTTTGGATAAAGTATTAGTATTGAAGACATTACCAATCGGGTTCCAGATTGAAATATTTATGCAATACAGCTTACCTTACCTTAGAGGAAATTGATAATTGAAGACAATGAGTTAGTTGTTCCTGTATTTATGGATTTCAAGAGGGCGTAACAGGTAAAGTATTGCAATTAATTAGAAGAGCCCTGTGAGCATATCAAAGTAAACAATTTATTATCAATTGTAGGAATAATTGATACAGGAGTCCTGCAAGGGAGAGTACTAGGCCCTATTTCAATAAATTGATGTAGTTGTTACTACGTGGTAAGAGATCACTATGAAAAATGGGGAATAACACTTTCTTTTTTTACCACTTTTATTTGTAACGAACGTTACTGCAGTTTTATCCTATAAGGACATTTTCAAACAATTACAGTTACAGTTTATTGTAATTATTTCTCATTTTTCATGGCCCTTTTTCAGTTTATATTATATTTATGTGACATTTAATTACATTCCAGACTTTGAATTCATTAGTCTCTTTGTTAGCGATACACTCATCCGTCTAGCAAGTGATGTGAATTCACCTTATGCCATTGGCAGAATTAGGTAATCTCAACTTACAAAATGAACCAAAATGATAGTCTTATCAATAACCACCATGACGACGAATAAGATACGTACAAGATGTGTTGCAATTCCATATTTTTTGAATTTTTTGGAGCAGGTCATTTTTCCATTATTCTAAGAGGCCAGGTTACCCTAAAGTTTTATTTGAATTCTTTTTTCTGGAGGACGAAATACCTTTACCCTTTCCCACCTTAGTGGTGGCCAGACTACGCTTGTCCGATTTCACATATAACTCAATAGAAACTTACTTCACATTAATGAATATGGCGCAACTATTGCAAATTATGAAGGTATCTGGGATTGATAGTTGCCTAAAATTTGAATATGAAATAACACTTCCAATATGTGTGCAATAAACATGTCTAAAACATTGTTTTTCTTCACATGGATCAGTAGTCGATCAACATTTCAATCTGACATGGCAGTTTACTGAAACAGATCAATAATTCGACTCAAAATGCATAAAATATATCTGGTGTGATCAGTTGGACTACTTTCCCATATAAAATATTTTCTCAAAAACTCTCGACTTACGCCACTCTTGATGAAGACATGCTGAGTACAACTCAAGTGACGCAGCGCGACAATGTCAAGTTGGCACTTCAATTTTCAATGCTTTCACTCTGTAAGAAATATAAATATCAGGTGAAACAATTTTTACATTATGATCCATAGATTGAAGATCTCAACAAAATACGCGAGACAGACAAATTTCAACATTTGTAACCTATTATTTCCCAAAATATGGCTAACCGATGGTTATCGAGTTGTACCCTGTATACATATGACTTTGGAAATTACAATTTGTAAAAAATAGGGATCAATCAACTCAGATGATTTTATTGAAGATGTGAGAAGATAAACAAAATATACTGTGGCCGCTCTACAAGTCATATTGAGCGAAATCGAGAATGTAAAACATATTCCTTGAAACGCGTTATTACAGTACGCTCAATTTATCAACATGATTTTAGTCGCAATCGTCAATCCTTATTTTGTGAATCCAATTTTTGCTTTTTCCATCACTTGTCCAACACTAGTTGGAGTTTTACAAGCAGAAATTAAAGCTACTTTCATGATTTTATAATAACCGAACTAATCCATTGGTCTGTTTGCATCTTATACATTCGTCATTCAAGTTTCAAAACCGAAGAGG